TTTTTCGATTCCATGATAAAAAAAAATCAAGGAACTTCTGCCCAAAAATCCTGGGTTTTAGGAAAAACAAAAAAAAAAATCTGTAAGTTCGGCCGGACCAATCTTTGAATACCCTCCACCATTTGGGAAAATTTTGGCAATTAAAAAAAAATAAAATCCGTTAAAAACTTTTTACAAAAATTATAAAAATACCGAATGTAGCCGTTATATTAGGGTCTTTACGACGACGTGGACCTGCATAGGCAACTTTTGTCATAAAGCATTACAATATTCAAATGCGAAACTTGAATAAAAAAGATGAATAATGAAAAAAAAAATCATCAAAATACCGAATATAGGAAGGTACCATTATATTGGGGCTATACGAAGACATGGACCTGCACAGACAATTTTCTGTCATATCCATTACGAACTTCAAGCACCAAATTTGAAACAATTCCGGTGAATAATGTCGCTAAAATCGGGAGGTACCGTTATATGGGGGCTATATAAAAACGTGGATCTGCACAGACAATTTTCTGTCATAGGCTGTAGTATCCGTTACGAACTTCAAACACCAAAGTTGAAACAATTCCGATGAATGATGTCGCTAAAATCATTAAAATGCCGAATATCGGGAGGTACCGTTATATGGGGCTATATATACTTTGTGGGGCCTATTATAAATATTTCGAGGTGTTACAAACGGAATGGCAAACTTAATATACCCTCCATACTATTGTGGAGGGTATAAAAATCACCAAAAATTCTTTCCGGGGGTTAAAAAATTTTAAGGATGTCCTAACCAAAAGTTATTTGAGCATCTCTGGCCCAAAAAAAAACGGAAAATGGAACAAAAATCGTGGATTTTCGGAGAAAACAAATCAAGAGTGACATGACCAAAAGCCTTGGATTTATAAAGATTTTTCGATGACCTCTTGGCCCAAAATCATGTATTTTTGGACTAAAAAATCGGAAAATGGAAAACCTTGCATTTTAAGAATTTAGGTAACAAAAAATGACCAAAAATCGTGGATTTTTCGAGAAAACATATCAAGGGTGAGATGACCAAAAATCATGGATTTTTAAAGATTTTTCGATGACGTCTTGACCGAAAATTACGTTTTTTTTTGTAAAATATCAAGGGCTGCCTGACCAAAAATTATGAATTAAAAAAAAATCAAGGGTGGTGGGTCCAAATACTTGGTGTTACAGTTGCATGAGGCTATACAAAAAACTGTAGAGCCAATTATCTGCCAGAGAAGGCGGCAGTTATTACGAACTTCAAACAACAAGTTTGAGATGATTCTATTGAAAAATCTAACAACAATTTTGAATATTCGGAGGTAGCGTTCTATTGGTCCTAACGAAGACGTAGGGCGCCAATTATCTGCCAAAGAAAGCGAAACCTATTACGATCTCTAAATAAGGCGTGCATCTGTCATATGAACTCCAAATTTCAAATTCGAAACAATTCGGTTCAAAAGTCAAGCCCACATCATCAAAATACTGAGGTTCCACTGGATGAGGGCCACACGAAAACATGGACCCCACAGTCAATTATCTGCCAGAGAAGGCGAACTGCAAATACGAAATTTGAAACGACTCCGGTGAAAAGTGAAACACAAATCATCAAAATGCCGAACATCTAGAAGCACAGTTATATAGGAGCTATATCAAAACATAGACCCATATGGCCTATATTCAATACCATAAATCTTGCAAACATACATTTAAGTAAAATTTTACCAACCTACTTCATTTAGTTCGGAAACTAGAGTGATAGACGGACAGAGAGATAGGCGGTCGGACATCGCTAAATCGACATAGAATTTTATTCTGATCAAGAATATATGTGCGTAGCCCGACATCAAGTAAGTGGACAGAAGAAAACAGCAACATTGAGCTCGGGGTAAAGATATTGAAATTCCAAAAAGTGCAAGAATTTACACCGCAACAGAAAGAAAATAGACTCAAAAGGGCTAAAAAGTTGCTTCGCTTGGCCGAAAGTGGTAAACTGCCGAATTTGGTTTTCTCCGATGAGAAAACATTCGTTGTTCAGCAGTTTTTAAACTAACAAAATGATCGTGTTTACTTGCCAAAGAGGTCAGCTGAAAATGTGCTCCTTCTGTTGGTCACCAGAACTCAAGCGACGCCCATGGTGATGGTGTGGGCCGCCATAACAGCCGATGGTCGCTCTCCGTTCGGCATCAGAATAAATGACAAATATTATCGCGAAAATATTCTGGAGGTTGTATTAAAGCCTTGGGCACGCCAACATTTTGGCCGCAGACCTTGGACATTCCAACAGGACTTAGCACGCGCCACACAAGAATGGTTACAAAATGAGATTTCTCGCTTTATTTTCAGCGCACAATGGCCACCAAAATCTCCAAACCCCATCTAAACTTATTCTGAAATTTGATGCTATTTCCGACATTTTATGCTTTCATTCATTAAAATTTAAAAAATGTAATGATTATGGCGTTTGACTTTGTACAGTTTTTTTTATCTCATCCTGTTAAGCTGAGTGTATAACTATGAGTATCCAATTAAATGATATCTCATACTTAAATTATTAACGTAATTAATCATTTTAGAAATTTCGATCATCAGCTCCACCTCGCAACTGATGGCATTAAGACCTAAAATTATACTTCTCCAACTCTGTCCAAATAAGTGTAGTTTAGTTTTCATACGGTAGTCATGTTTCATTCGAATGTTAATTTCATTGGTCATTGGCAGCAGCACCTCTTGTCAATAATCAAAGTTAAAAAACGAAAATGGATTCTTGGAACTGCTGTCACATAGCATAAATAATGTTCCGTTCTTTCCTGCGAAACAATTTCTCGCAATGTTTAATTTAAAAAAGGATTATTTTCAACAAGATTAATCAGATTAATTTACATTTTGTTACATCCAAATATCCTTGTTAGGCCATCAATGCTGTTCTAGATTATTAAAATACAGACTATTTTTAGAATTATTGCAATATTTAAATGGTAGCAATCTTTCGTTCTTCCTGGAAAAGTTAACCCATGGTCAGTGGATTAATGGAATTCGTGTGGATTTATACGTTTAACATGAATTTTATACAAATTTTGTTGCTATGCTTTCAGCACACTACGAGTAGCAGAAAAATAAATGGAAAAGTATGACTTTATAAAACAACCAACAAATAGCCTTACTACGATTTTAACAAATTCATATAAATATTGAATTTTTGTAGTGGCGAATATATGCTACCACTTATGAGATTTTATTGTTTGAAAACCCAATTACTATCCGGGATGAATGGTAATGTTTTAATCTGCCTCCTAAATTAAAGAAGGTATGGGAAATGGTATTTACTGTGAAAGGTTGTAAAATAACTCTAAACTCGTCTACAGCGGCATTTAGTTAAAAACAAGCTGAAACTTTGAAAATTCCAAAAGTCATCAAAATTGCATATTTTGGTACACTGTACACGTTCTTGGTAGAGGCTACAAGGATACTTGCAACTCTACCAAGAACCATACAGACAAGGATTCAGAATCCTTTAGCGACTGTACGGTAATGAGTTAATAAAGTGCGATTTTTAGCTTTAACCTTTTTGGTAACACTAGTGTAAACAGCTCATGCAAGTTTCGCGTTTTGTTTCACTGCCAAACAATTCCAGTTTGGTCTATAATTTAAACATGAATCGTCCTACAAATGAACAACGTTTGTTAAGAATATTCATCGAGCGCTTCTTCCATTTTACGGCTCTTGTTACTAAATGTCGCACCAAACTTACAGGGTTAGACATTAAACTGTCAATACGCTTACGTAGAGTGTCAACTGGTCATCATCAATTCGTCCCCTTTTACAACAATTGGTCTTGTTATTTTGCGGAAGGATTTTAGGTCTGAAGCCTTTCAAAATACAGGTGGTGCAAGCATTGAAGCCAAACGACCTAAAGCAACGCAGAATTTTTGATGAGTGGACTCTTGAAAACTCCACTCGTATATTGGAATCTTGTATTCGTCGACAAAGTTCATTTGTGGCTCAATAGGTACGTAAAAAATCAGAATTGTCGATTTTGAAGTGAAGATTAGCAAGAAGCATTGCAAAAGCTACCAAAGCGTCCAGAATAAGTGACAAATTGTTGCGGTTTATGGGCTGGTGGCATCATTGGACCGTATTTTTTCAAAGAGCTGCGGTGCCACATGCCATACACCACGCCTAACAATGGACTTATTAAGGGGTACGTTTGGTGAACATTTTATTTCACGTTCGGGACCGATCAATTGCTCACCTAGATGGTGTCATCGCCTTTAGACAATTTTTAGTAGGGGTATGTTAAAGCTCATGTCTATACAGGCGTTTCCACTTTAATTGGCCCATTGGAAGACAATGTTGAAGCATTCATTCGTGCGATAACAGTTGGTTTGAGGAATAGAATCAAGAAATAAAAAAAATCCTCAAAAATTAAATTATATTGACCGTGGTATCAATTTCTTTTCGTGAATTTCTGAATTTAATGTCTCTTTTCTACAATTCTTCAAAATAACCCTTGATCTATCTCTCTCATATATCTCACTCTCTTTGGATCAGTCAGTATCCTTCCTAATCCTTTCCATAGATCGTGCAAAAAAGTCATATAAGGAGTCTTCGTTTCTCAATGTAATTGTATTGATGGTGATGACAAGGGAATTACAAACCCAATGGCAAACATTTCATTCCCCTCCACGCAATAGAGTAGGGTTTACGAATAATTGACCAATTCCAAAAATATGCATGGAAGAGATTATATTATTTGTCCTGTCTGTCTATCTTAGCTTGTTTTTCCTTCTTCAAAATTATATCATTATCCTTCAGTTATGTTTCAAGGATCCCCTATTTGCCATTCAACCAACCGACCCAACCAATCAGCCATGCATGACAAACAACAACAGCGACTGGCTGGCTGACAAACAAAAAAAGTGGTTGCCTGGCCAACGAAAGGGAAGGAAATAACATGGAGAAGCAGAGAAGGAAAAAAAAACGAACTTGCAACTTACCTCATGAGCCTTGGGATGGTGATGTTGACAGTTGTGTGGCTCAGCCGGATGAATGGTGTGGTGGCTATGGCTATGGATATTGCTGCCATCAGTTAGACCGGCCCAGAAACTAAAGATGAGCAATATTGACAGATAACTGGACCTACTACGGTGGCCGCCAACAAACAACATTTTGGCTAATGTGCGTTGAAAATGAAGGAAATTTGTTTGCTGTTGGTGGTGGGGACGGCGGGTGCTATTTTGACGTATAGAAGAATAGTTTTGTTTTTCTCGTTGTTGTCGTAATTCTTGTATTTCTGGTTTGTGTTTATGACGACAATGTGTTGTTGTGGCAGTTGAAACAGCTGCTGTGGCATGACTAAGAACTTGTCTCGGAGTTGGGTATTTTTTGTTTTGAGCTGCAGGCAGGCAATAAAGATATTGGCACATTTCTATGATTGCGAAAAGGGGGGTGTTGGTGGTGGTTGTTGTTATTTTTATGTACAAAATTTAAAATTTTCACAGATCTAAATATTCTTTGGGCTTCTTATTGGCCTTTTTCCCATGCTCCACTTATTGTGAATGCAAACGTCGACCACAAACGTATGACCTGTCTGCTGATTGCCAGCCAACGATTGGAACACCAAATTTTCACCGTTGAAACCTTTAATTCAACAATCTATTCCATAATCACTAATAACAATAAGGTGCGGTGCGTCCACCATTCATGACGGCATCTGTTCTCCGTTTGCTGATTGTGTTAAGTCCGTTCCAGCATAACGCCACACAGCATCAATTAAAGGCAAGACTTCATTCATATAGCTATAGCAACAACAACCCCAGGCAGTCTGATTGTCTGTTTTTCACCTTTGAAGAAACAAAACCGAATGCAGCACCACACAACAACCACTAGCAATGACGGTGGCAGCGACGAATGCTAACCAACATCTGCTGCTGCAGCGCCGGCATCCAGCAAAGCCTTGATTACACAGTGAATAAACAAACCAAAGCAAAATGTGAAGCACGAGAAACCAGCCAGCAAAACCAAATCTGAATTCTTTTTCTTGATTTATAATAAATGTCACATTCACATGAACTCGAACTCCACCACAAAGCTACGACGGTGACGACGACGAAGAACTCCCCCCCAAAAAAAACGATACCACGACGGAACGCTGCAACCCCCTCACGGACGCCAGCGATAAATGTGTAATCCAAACAACAACTAAAATGGTAATGCAAAAATTTCAAGACAACAGACCGAGCGACTTTTTCAATGGACAGCGGAAAGACAGAATGACTGAACGATCGATTTTTGTTTATTTACAAGAATTCTTCTCTTTTTCACTCGTTTTTGCTCACTGACTTCGTTTTGTTATTTCACTATTTTGTTTCTTTAATTCAACACTTAGCAAATTGTATGCAATTAATTTTATTCACTGTCGTCGCCGTTGTTGTTGTTCTCTTTCACTCGCGTCGTTATCGTTATCGCTCGCCGCGCACGTCCAACTTCAGTCACGGTTTATAAACAAATGACGAAAAAGTTTATTTTGTTTGTGCAAAATTGTCTTGAGATGCAACAACAACAAATGTTTTTGAAAAGAGTAGGGATACGTGGATCGACTTTCGCCACTCACAACGATTATTATCGTTATCGACTGAAAAATAATCGATTTTTTATTATTAATTGTATAGTTGTGTTCATGGTATGAGCATATAAGTTACAATCCCGAATAAGGCATAAAACGCACTTCCAGCAAATATTGTTTACTTACCAGCATTAAATGTAATATTCCAGAATTCAAATCAAATATTGCTTGACTTGGGTATGGTGGTATAATATGCTTGGTGGATATGCTTATTTGAAATGACTTTACCTCTTTAATTTTACCATGGATCAACCATAAAATAGTAATTTTTCTCAGAAAATACAAAATAAGGTCTTTTCCGGAACTGCACGAATGTAAAAGATTTTTCTACGATAACAAAATTCTTACAAGACACAAATCATTGTCCCAGCATCTGTATCGATGCGACTACATGTTTTCTTCTTCCATGATTGATAGCTTCTGGTTACACTACACTCCAAAAGCGATCATACAGCAAACACACGATTCAGGGTTAAGTTATAGACCAAACTGAAAGTCTTTGACAGTAAAACAAACACCTAATCCTGCATGAGTTGTTTAAACCAGTGTTGCTAAAAAATCACCCAAGGTGTTTTTTTTTTGTACGGCACACCGGGTATTATATGATATGAACTTTAATTTTCTTGAAAAATGACAAGGCCAATCGGAAAGGGTTGATATATTTGAATTAAAAAGTGAGACTACTTTTATTCTGTTGTATTTTTTCGTTTATTTTTGGGCTGAGTGAAATAGAGGAATTGTAAGGGAATAGTTTAAGTTCTTCACGCAAAAGATTAAACGTCTTTTGTATAATATCAGTAATATGGTATTATCGGCCTTAAGGTGATAATACATAAAATGCTTTTTTGATTGGCTTAAAGGTGCAAGCACATAAAGAGCTTTTTTGGCTGGCTTAAGTCACCGGCCGGCTTCTTTGGAAAATAGCAGAGAAGTGTAGGAACAAAATCGATCTAAGTCAGCCTAAGGGTAGAAATACATAAAGCGTATATTTGACTGGCTTAAGTCATCGGCTGGCTTCTTCGTAGATGAACAAAAGAGTTTTAGATTGACTTAGTTCGATTTTGGCCCTAGGCTCCTTTGTTCATTTCCGAAGAAGCCAACCGATGACTTAAGCCAGCCAGACCGAAGAAGCCAGCCGATGACTTAAGCTGGGAATAATGAAGCGCATATTTGGCTGGCTTAAGTTATCGGCTGGCTTCTTCGGGAATGAACAAAGGAGCCTAGGGCCAAAATCGAACTAAGTCAATCTAAAACTCTTTTGTTCATCTACGAAGAAGCCAGCCGATGACTTAAGCCAGCCAAATATGCGCTTTATGTGTTTTCATCCATAATCCAGTCATAGAAGCGTTTTATGTATTCTCACATTTATAGACTAGAAGAAGACCTCATGAGGGAAGATGAATAAGATCTTTCTATAAGGAAATATACTTATTGATGAACAAAGAGGTTAAGAATTAATTGAAAATTATAAAAATGTGTACATGGAAGGATTTTCAAACTGCCTAAGTCAAACTGGCTAAAAGAACATGCTCGTACGCTTCACTCGAAAGATATATAAACACATAAATCCATGGCAGAAAAATACAGGTAGATGCATAAACGCTTGGGAGCATTGATATGTCAAAAACTTTTAAATTTCTTTTCAAATATAAGTAGATTTTTATATGTTTTCTTATACGACACAAATCGTGGGTTGTTCAGATATGCATTTTTCTAAAATTTTTACAAATTTAAATAATTTTTCATTCAACATTTTCAATTCCAAAATTGGTTTGACAGTTCATTGTCCCAGCAGCTGCATCAATGCTTCTACCTATATTCTTCTACCATGCATAAATCATAAAAATATGATCTTCAAATTAACAAGCAAAACTCAAAAAAGGGAGTTTTAGGTTGACATAGTTCAATTTCGGGCCATAATTTATACTTGTTTGCCCTATGCTCCCTTGTTGTTTTACGAAAAAGCCAGCTCATGACTTAAGACAGTATACAACTTGTTCTATGTGTTCTACCCTTAATGTAACACTAACATAATCTTAAAAATAATATATTTGCTTTGTTCCAGAACCTGTAACAATCTACTAGTAATAATATTTTTCGATATCGTAAAGGGAAAATCGGGTATCGTAGTAAACACTTTTACATTCTTGCAGTTCTTGAACAGACCAATTGTGTTTCAATTTTTGCTTACGTTTTCACTAATTGCTCGTTAAATTGCTGCAGTATGTTAGCAATGACACAATCCAATTGAATGTGATTTAGACGGCAACCACTAAAAGTCTGTGTTATCTGTGTCACCCTGTTTTCTATTCAGTTATGTTTCTCATTTGAAATTATTAAAATAATTGTAAAACTAGCTTTCAATTCCAATTATTTTATTATTACTACATAAAAATAAATATATTATTGTAATTTGTGCGCGCGTGTGTGTGTCTTCTTTTAATAAATTAAACAAATAATTGAAATGTATTTGCGTGGCATTTTACTGCAATGCTATCCTTCTGAAATGATTATTGAGTGGTCCTTCATCCGAATAGCCGGCAATTTCTTGTGGTACAATTCCAGATTCTTCAATCGAGGTGCAGGGTCGGCACATACATTCCAGAGGGGCTTTGGTGAGAACTTTCTTAAATTTACGTTCACCATGTTTCACTTTGGGACAGAATAAAGAGACGGCAGCCTCACGTTCACCCGATTCTTGACAGCACATACACGAGCGTTCCATTTGCCAGATTTTACTGCCAGAGACCTGAAACGCAAGGGTAAATTGGATTAAAGTAAGGGATTGGTGTAAGAAGTATGCATGATTTACAACCAATAGAATGTTTACAAAAAGAAATATTTTTATAAAATTAACAAGTTAAAAAGCAGTAAGTTCGGCCGGGCAGAACTTTGAATACCCTCCACGAATTTGGCTTTTACGAAGACCTGGACCTGCATACACAATTTTCTGTCACAGATTGTAGTTCTCATTACGAACTTCAAATAACGTAATTTGAAACTACTCCGGTGAATAATGCCGCCAAAATCATCAAAATACCGAATATTGGAAGGTACAGTTATATGGGGGCTATATGAAGACGTGGATCTGCACAATTTTCTGTCACAGGCTGTAGTATCCATTACGAACTTCAAATGCCAATTTTGAAACAATTCCGGTGAATAATGTTACATAAATCCTAAAATTACCGAACATCGGTTAGGTACAATTTTGTGGGGTTATACGAAAATATGGGCCTTTATAAACAATTGTTATTGTCAACACCAAATACCAATTTTAAAATATGTAATTCCGCTTATTGAAAATAACACCGCTAAATTCGGGCCAGCCGGAACTTAGCTGTTTTTCATACCCTCCACCATACTATGGAGGGTATATTAATTTTGTCATTCCGTTTCTAACTCCTCGAAATACTCATGTCAGACCCAACAAAGTATATATATTCTTGATCAGCGTAAAATTCTAAGACGATTTAGCCATGTCCGTCGGTCTGTCTGTCTGTTGTAATCACACTATCTTTCGAACAAATTGAGATAGAAGGCTAAAATTTTGCACACATGTGTATTTTGCCAGAAGGCAGGTTAAGTTCGTAAATGGGTCATGTAGGTCCAAGTTATCATATAGCCCCCATATAACGGTACCTCCCGATATTCGGTATTTTGATGATTTTAGCGACATTATTTAACGGGATCGTTCCAAATTTGGTATTAGAAGTTCGTAATAGATACTGCAGAATAAAACAGAAAATGGGCCATGTAGGTTCACGTCTTCGTATAGCCCCCATATACCGGTACCCCCCGATATTCGGTATTTTGATGATTTTAGCGACATTATTCACTGGAATTGTTTCAAATTTGGCATTTGAAGTTCGTAATGGATACCACAGCCTAACACTGAAAATAGTCTGTGTAGGTCCACGTCTTCGTATAGCCCCCATATACCGGTACTCCCCGATATTCGGTATTTTGATGATTTTAGCGACATTATTTAACGAAATCGTTCCAAATTTGGGATTTGAAGTTCTTAATAGATACTGCAGCATAAAACAGAAAATGGGCCATGTAGGTCAACGTCTTCGTATAGCCCCCATATAACGGTACCCCCCGATATTCGGTATTTTGATGATTTTAGCGACATTATTTAACGGGATCGTTCCAAATTTGGTATTTGAAGTTCGTAATAGATACTGCAGAATAAAACAGAAAATGGGCCATGTAAGTCCACGTCTTCGTATAGCCCCCATATAACGATAGCTCCCGATATTCGGTATTTAGATGATTTTAGCGACATTATTTACCGGGATTGTTTCAAATTTCGTATGTGAAGTTCGTAATGGATACTTCAGCCCGTGCCAGAAAATTGTCTGTGCAGGTCCACGTCTTGGTATAGCCCCCATATAACGATACCCCATATATTCGCTATTTTGATGATTTTAGCTACATTATTAACAGAATTTTCTTCAAGTTTCTCATTTAAATATTGTAATAACTTATGACAAAAGTTGCCCATGCAGGTCCAAGTCGTCGTATAGGCATTCGGTATTTTTAAAATTTTAATAGAACTTTTAACGGATTTTTTTTTTTTTTTTTTTTTGGAAATTGCCAAATTTGTACCAAATGGTGGAGGGTATTAAAAGTTCGGCCCGGCCGAACTTACAGCTTTTTTACTTGTTAGCTCAACTTTCATAATCTACCCGATTTTTATTGCAATTATATTTTGTGTAATCTGTAAACTTACCTGAATATAACTAGCACATCGGCCAACACATGCAAAGGAGGGTATTGGTTTAGGTACACAGCCAGGATATTGTAAGACATGAATTACTGGTGTCACTTGGCAATCATCACCAATATGGGAAATATCTGCAAAATAATAGACAATCGAGTGTAAAAATATAGATGTTTTTAAAAGAGAATAACTTGCCATTATCAGTGCCTATAACGGCATTATCACCTCCGACTGCATCCAAACCAAACTGAATTAATATCATCAAAAGCATACCATAACTTAATATTCCATAACGCAGATTTTGATTATTACACCGAAAAACTGAAGCTTCCATTGTATACAAATTCCAATATGAAAATATTATTCCTAATCCTAGCAGTTCTAGTCCCACCGCGCTACAACTCGTTACAAAGGGCAAAACAAAACTAGAGAATATTTCCCCAAAGACAAATCCTTTTTATATCAATCCAAGAGAAGTGTTTTGCTAATGGATGACATGTATACTTTTTTTTTCTTGTTTCTTTAATAAAAAATTATTGCCTTGTTTAAGAAGCGGCGCAAAGTAGGAATAAGAAGGTGAAGCTGAAAGTATTTGTAATACAAACACACGTATATCGTTGTTTGACATAAGGGCCAGGATGGCTGGAATTGTTTTTTTTTTTTTATTCTAAATAACTGCTGTTGATATGTGGTCCAACGTCGTCGTCGTCTTCTCCTTCAATTATTATATCGGTCTAATTGTGTACAAGAGAACACCATTAGTTGTGTGTGTGTGTTTTGAACCCAACAACCTACCGCTGAGTCTTCGGGTGGCAATCTTACCTCAGAAGTGATTTCCGCAGGATTTTTTGTGGTCAAGAAAGTGTGTGTGTTCACTTACGACATCAACAACAGCGAGTAATGATAATGGAAAACTTTCATTCAACTGACCAATTAACAACAACAACAACAACATCGACAGCAACGAAATTTCCATGAGTGTGCGATTTTCATCAGTCAACGGGAAATTACTTTATGAATAAACGGATACGATTGTCTGAGAAATCGAAATGAATAAATTCAGATGGATATTCATACAGCTTCTGAGACGACATATTTGATAAATGTGAGATATATTTTTGAAATGTTAGGGGGGCTGACTATGTTATACCCTACAACACTATATATGTTAAAAGCCCCCTTATGTCCAAATCCATATTAGAAGATTTCTCTTTTGAAATTAGGATTTTGACTAGGGACATTTGCCCAACATTTATGTACTCCGTCGGGCTGTTAGTTGTTGTAGTCCACTTTACAGCTAAATATAATCCAAAGGTCATCCAAAATGCTAGAATTCTTCCCTGTCCTTAACTCTCTTCACAGGCGTGTCGATTGGCTTCAATTGTTTGATCGGAAAAACATTTCTGTTTTGGGTTAATTTGAACCCCTAAATATTTTGCGATCATCTCCAAAAGCAAGAAGTCCTCTGTATCTCCAAATTTAGACTCATATATATGATTTGCTTGTCTATGATAGTTGGCTATATTCGTCAACGAAATCAGCATAAACTCTAACTTTATGCAGGATTTCGTGTCCTTTGGTTTCTATTTGTGACCTTTATAACGGCCGCAAAATCAGGAAAATTTTTAGTTGTTGGTCCATTTCAACCCCTAAAATATTGCGGACATCTTTGAAAACAGTAGGCCTAGCCCTTCTGAGCCCAACCCTACTCTTGTGAAAATTTTCGTGAGGATCGGACGATATTTGCAATACCTATATAATATCCCCAACCTGTGTTGTAAGGTGAAAAAATATTACAAAATATTATAAGTCAAATTGAAAAAATCGCATGCGATAAAAAATATGAAAAAATAAAAATATGTCACAAAATACTAAAAAATCTATATTAACATCATTATTGGCATATTTTTCTGCGACTTTTTTAGATTTTATGCTTTTATGTCAAGAGGGCATTCTGAATTGACAAAAAAAAAAAAAAAAAAAATCGGTCCAGCCATTCTTGAGATATAAGCATTATAGCTAACATCCCCTTCTTTTGTATATACACATTGTATATATTTCGCTATATATAACCGATATATTTACTATGGACATCTACGTAACGGTCAGAATTGACCTGTTCGTCTATTTGTGATTTCGCCGGGATTAAAAATATTCGCGGTTTAATGGAAATGTTGACTTTTATTTAACACAAATGTTGTGGCCTATTTCACCCACTAAATATTACCCGATGACCATCAAAATTGGAAGGCTTCTGCCCAGCCCTAAGCTCTAGCCCCATTCTAACTTCCGCTTTGATTGGTCAATAATTGTGACCTGTAGAGCAACTGCAAAATCAGGAATTTTTTCAGTTTTAGGTCCATTAAATATTATGCGATCATCTCCAAAAGAAATAGGGTTCTATTCTGAACCTAGCCCCACCTCCATTCTAAATTTCGTGAAGATCGGGCCATAATTGTGATCTGTAGAGTGATTACAAATTAACATGGACAGACGGACAGATGGACGGACGGACATACATAGCTATATCGACTCAGCTCGGTGAGATAGGAAGATCCATATATACTTTCCTATGTGGGAAACCAATATTTCGTGGTGTTACATAATTTTTTGCCAAATCAAACTTATAATACCCCCAACACATAGTGTTGTAGGGTATAATAAAAAAACTTTGATCCAATAGATTCGGAAATAAAATATTCTTAACACACAAACAAAAAATATATAAAAAATTGTAAGCATGGGACAAAAACATATTGGTCCTAAAAATCAATTTGCGCGGAAGCTGTGTTTGTGGTTATGTAAAAACCAGTAAGTGAAGGTCAAAAGTCGGGCAGGGCCGACTATATGCTACCCTATACCACTATGCGTATCTATTAGAGCTCCCGTAACAAAGATCATACCAAATATGAACCTTATTTGAATGCGTATCATGGCTTTAGAGTAGTCACAATTTGGGAACTATACCCAACTCTGAATGTATTTTCAACAAATTTGATGGAGTCTTTCGTATTAAATAATATTGCTGTATAATGCATGATTATATTAAAATATATATACATTGGATCAATAGATATACCGGACCGAATTTCATCAAATGGAAAAATTCGGTTGAATATAAAAAAAAAAATAAATCCAATTCGTATGAAGATGCATATCGAAGCTATATACAAATCTGAAACGATCTCAATAAAATATACAGGATGAGATAAAAAAACGGCAACAAAGTCAAACGCCATCATTTTAACATTTTTTCTTTAAATTTTATTGAATAAAAGCAAAAAATGTCGGAAATAGCATCAAATTTTAGAATAAGTTTAGATTTGTTCAAATTGGTCACCTTTGGCATGAAACAGTCACACGCTGCCCGAATGTTGCCCTGGTGTATTTTGGCCCATTCCCGGCGAGGCATTGCTTGAGGTAGTATTGGTATTTGATATTTTTTAGTGCCAACCTTTCTTTCCAAAATACTCCAGACACAATAGTACAGCGGATTTTGGTGCCCATTGTGGAACCTGTGCTGAGTGCGATGGTGCTGAGCCCTGTTGGAATATCCAAGGTCTGCGGCCAAAATTTTTGCGTGCTCAAGGCTTTAATACACCCTCCAGAATATTTTCGATTTGATGCCATGGTCGATTAATACGAGCGGAGAGCGACCATCGGCTGTTATGGCGGTCCACACCATCACCATGGCCGGCGCTTGAGTTCTGGTGGCCAACCGAAGGTGCAGATTTTCAGCTGACCTCTTTGGTAAGTAAAAACGATAATTTTATTTCTTTACAAACTGCTGGACAACGAATATTTTCTTATCGGAGAAAACCAAACAGAAGCAACTCTTTAGCTCTTTTGAGTCTATTTTCTTTCTGATGCGGTGTAAGTTCCCCTTTTTGCCCCTTTTTGGAATTTCAATGGCTTTACCCCGAGCTCATTTTTCAATATTTGCCGATTGAAATATTGCGATATGTTCAGCTCACGAACCATTTTTCGGCCACTGCGACGCGAGTTTCGATCAAGTCACTTCTTTACTTTTCGAACCATTTCTGCGGATGTTGCTGTTTTTTCCGTCCACTTCCTTAACGTCGGACTACGCTACCAGTATTATGGTTACGAGCGATGGTACGAGATACAAAATATTAAGAAGATATTCACATTTAAATGCTGGACTGCCCTAACGATAGCCACTTGTGGTTTTCCAGCCAAATAAAAAAGAATCATACTATCACGCTTAAATTCCATCACGAATAAGTTTTTTTTTTTTGGAAAATTCTCACCAAAATGCTTTTGTACGCTTTTAAGCAATATAATGAGCTGAAGAATAATTTTAACAGCTTTTGGGCGAGTGGCTTAAAATTATAGCAGTCTGAAGTTGGTTTCAGTTTTTTCATCTCACCCTGTATATTACCAGTCTTAGGTGGGCACTGTTATATATGCGCTATAGGAAAGCAGTCTCTTCAATGTTTTTCCGCCGTGCCTAGAACCCATTATGACCTACGAATACCAATTTTTAAACAAATCCGTGGAAAAATGGGTCAAAAATCATCAAAATACCGAATATCGGGATGAACCGTTATATGGACCTATATATACTATGTTTCGCCACCGGACTTAGAACCCGTTACTAACTACACATACAATTTTTTACACAAATTCGTAAACAAATCTGGCACAAGTTATCAAGATACCGAATATCGGGAGGTACCGTTATATGGGAATGTACAAAACGTGGACCTATACGTATAATGTTCCGCCACCGAAGCTAGAACCCATTACGAACTACAATTATCAATTTTTAGACAAATCCATGGAAAATGTGGCAAAATTACGGAATATCGGGGGGTACCGTCATATGGCGGCTATACCAATATAATTGTTGTGCCGAATTGAAACTCTGCGTGAAAAAAATAACCTATTCCGCAGTCAACAAAAACAAACCTTACAAGCCTTCATAGAATAGTTATTTTAGTAATAAACATATTTTCTTTATTTTATTTGTTTCTTTCGAGCTTTTTCAACTTAAAATCTGAAATAAGAAATAACAACAATAATAACTGACAATATTGGTATTGATTTGGTGAGGGCAGCAGCACCGCTTCTCTGATCTAAATATTGGAAAAGACTTGCCAAATGTTTGGAAGACCAAACAAGATTTTTCTCAACATCTATGGCTGCATCCTCCAAAATACTAAGAGCGGTGCCAAAAAGCTTGCCCTTTGTGACAATAAATTTCTGGAATTGATTGAGTTGTTCGTTGGTTGTAAAATAGTATGAGAGATCACTTATTAGATATGCTGTTGAAGACCAGCTTCCCAAACTGTGAGGAAATAGAAGTTAGTTTTCAAAATAACTCAATTGTATATTCATGTAAAGAACTTACGCATTGGCCAATTCTTCCAGGGTTTCGTCTATTATTTTGAAAACTGGCTCAACATTTTCCGGTGTTTGTCTAAACAAATAGCTTATGCCGGCACTCTTAAGTTCCTGCGGTACCTTGCTGCTCAGCACAAAATAGTAATGATTATCCACATAGTGACGTGTACAGCCCATGGCCCGTAGAATTTTCTCTTTTTGACTTTGTAACTCCATGTCAATGAATTGCGTTCTGAGTGAGGTGTATATATCGAAAGTACCATCCCTATTTGCGGCACAATAAAGAGTCTCTTGGAAATCCGCCGAAATCTGAGTCGGCTTTGAAGATCTAAACAATTGTTGGGCCTTTTGATTACAATCCTCGTGATGATATTTGCACAGCCAACTGATGACCTTGTTGCGGTTATAGACATCCAAAACATTATCGCCGGAATTCTCAAAACCCAATTCTTTATACACCGTCGACATTATGTCAAATAAAAATTCACCGAATTTTTTATGTTGCTCCAAAGTGAAACGGGCACTTATCATTTCGAAAGCCTTGAAGGCCGGCTGCCAGGGCAAATATTCCCTTTCCCTAGCTAGATATTCCATAAAGCGAAAAATTTCATCATAAGACATAAGACCGATACGTCCATAGGTAAAGAGGTCATCAACCAAATAAGCCCGATTTATAACGTGGATACCACTGTGCATGGTGGCCATTAAAGCTTTTCTCAGTTTTTCCAAGAGACTGGCTTCATAGAAGACTCTATAGTAATTGGATTGTTGCAAATTCAAAATAATCCATTCATCATCACCGGGAAATCCAAATTCTTGTTCGGGCTTAGTTTTATTGAAATAAAAATTCGGTTTTAAATTGAGGAAATTTCTTTCACGACTTGTGGTATAGGTTATGGGAACGGTATAAAGGAAACTGCCATCACTTCCATCCTCGGGTTCCAAGAGGAATCTTTCTTGTTTGAGTGAATAACGACCATTTGGGGTGATCGATATGCCAATTATTGGATAACCTGGCTGTTCAGTCCAATCACTGAATAATTGATTTAAATCAACTTCTTGATTCTTGGGCCAGTAGTTCTTCCAATGTTTGAATAAGTCTTCGGGAGTGGTGTTATTTTGAAAGCTAAAAGTAAAAAACATCAATATATGATATACGTGTGAGTTTTTGGAAATCTGAACTAAAAGAGTACACAAAGTACTAAAATGTACTAAATATGACACACTGATGGAGCTCAGCTTAGTTTAATTCAAAGTTAATTGTTGCGAAAAGTTCTAAAATGGCAGGAAACTTGAAATTTGGTATGCGAATCAAGGTTGTAATGTGAGTTTGATTATAAGAATGTGGTTTTAGAAATGTTTACTTATGTGCGAACTGTGCTAAATGGTACTAAATTGTTGGAACATGTCTGTCCACGTTTTGGTATAGCCTCCATATAATAGTACCTCCCTATACAGGGTGAGATAAAAAACCTACAACCAATTTCAGACTGCTGTCATTTCTGAGCCGCTCGTCCGACAGCTTTTGAAATTATTCTAGTGACAACTCATTGTTTACAAGCGTCCAAAAGTATTTTTCTGAGAATTTTCCAGAAAAAAAAAATTATTCGTGATGGAATTCAAGCGTGATAGGGTGACTTCTTTATATTTGGCTGGAAAACCACAAGTGGCTATCATTAGAGCACTCTACCATTTAAATTTGAATAAATTTTTTGTGTCTCTTACCATCGCTCGTTACCGCAATACTGGTAGCGTGGCCCGATGTCAAGGAAGTGGACGGAAGAAAACAGCAACATCAGCAGAAATGGTTTGAAAAGTAAAAAAGCGACTTGATCGAAACCCGTGTCGGAGTGACCGAAAAATGGCTCGGGGTAACGCCATTGAAATTCCAAAAAGTGTAAGAACTTACACCGCCACAGAAAGAAACAAGTTAAAAGCACTAAGTTCGGCCGGCCCGAACTTTGAATACCCTCCAGCATTTGGAACGAATTTGGAAATAAAATCCTTAAAAAATGCTATTAAAATATTAAAAATACCGAATATAGCCGTTATTTTGGTGTCTATACGACGTGGACCTACACAGGCATTGTTTGTCATAAATCATTATCATATTCCAATGCGAAACTTGAAGTAAACGGTGAATATCAGCTAAAATATAGCTAAAATTATCAAAGTATCGTTATATCTGAGCTGTGCGAAGACCTGGACCAGCATAGAAAATGCTCTGTCATTGGCTGAGCATCCATTATGAATTTCAAATACGACATCTCAAACAATTTCGGTGGGTATTGTACCTAAATTCGTCAAAATACCGAATATCCGAAAATGCCGACTATACGAAGTCCCGGACCTGCATAGACAATTTTCTGTCACAGACTGTAAATCCCATTACGAACTCTAAATACGTAATATGAAACAATTCCGGTGAATAATGACGCTAAAATCATCAAAACACCGAATATAGGGAGGTACCATTATATGGGGGCTTACGAAGACGTGGACCTGCACAGACAACTTTCTGTCTTAGGCTATAGTATCCATTACGAACTTCAAATACCAAATTTTGAACAATTCCGGTAAATAATGACTCTAAGATCATCAAAACACCGAATATGGGAGGTACCATTATATGGGGGCTATACGAAGACATGGACCTACATGGTCCATTTACCTACTGGAAAAATAAACATGTGTGCAAAATTTTAGCCTTCTATCTCAATTCGTTCGAAAGACGAAAAAAGGCAGACGGACAGATAGACAGACATACGGACATCGCTAAATCGAATTAGAATTTTACGCTGATCAATAATGTAAATACTTCTTTGGGTCTGACATGAGTATTTCGAGGAGTTACAAACGGAATGACAAAGATAATATACCCTCCATATTATGGTGGAGACTCAAAAGAGCTGAAGAGTTGCTTTGCTTGGCCGAAAGTGGTGAACTGACGAATTTGGTTTTCTCCGATGAGAAAACATTCGTTGTCCAGCAGTTTGTAAACCAACAAATATAAACTTATTCTAAATGTTGATGCTTTTTCTGACATTTTTTGCTTTTTTTGCATTCAATAAAATTTAAAAAAAAAATAAAAATTATGGCTTTTGACTTTACAGCTTTGTTATCTCACCCTGTAATCAATACTTACAACTCCTTCAAATAATCCCTTATGGCATTATCATAATTCTCTGTTCCCATTAGGTTTGAAATCATGCGAAGTATGGCAGCTCCCTTGCTGTAGGCAATGTTACTAAATTTATAACCAACTTCATCGGGAGTATTAATATTTTCCTCCGGGTGGCTTAATGGCTGAGTATAAGAGGTGGCGTCAAGTTCAAAAATATTTTGAGTTTGTTTCAGCACAAACTGTTGATCCAACTTATATTGGGGATACATCTGGAAAATTCGAAAAAATGGCTGAGTTTAAAAAGGCAAAAACAAAAATGAATTTAATCCCTACCCTATGGGCCAAAAAATGGGAATAGTATGTGGGAAAGGCTTCATTTAACCAAAAATAACTCCACCATTTATGTGTGACACTGTTGCCAAACCACATGTGACCGACTTCATGTACCACCAACGATATTGTGGCTTCCTTGTGCGTCCAACCGTCCGTGTAATATGGCTCATGGGCCAATAGCACATCTCTGTGGAGGAAAGTTAATAAATAACAAATTTGAATTTCTTCGTGGGGAAATTTCGCAACTTACTTGTAAAAAATCAAACCCCAATTTTCCATACCACTGTGTGGAAAACTATTCGATCCAGCCATTTGCATGATGTCATTACCCAATGATTTGTAATTCATGCCAGTGTAGCTGTCATAATAGTCTATTGCTCGGGCGGCAACTTCTTGAGTAAAGTTGGTTTTATGTTTAAATTTCTGATTCATTATCAACTGCAGATCGGTGTTGCCTTCCACAACGAAATCATTGGCTATAAGGAATGCTACCAAATAGGTGGACATACGTGGTGTACTATAAAAGCTATCGGTATAACGGCCATCGCTGGAAGTCAAAACAAAATATTTTTTTTTTATTTGAATTCAGGAGCGAAATGAGTTTTGAGTTTTTGGGCAGAAACTAAATTTTGTAATTGGTCCCATTTCCGCTTACGCACAAACTTAGTTTCAACTTATTTTCTGAAGCTTTCCAAATTGACATTTTTTAAATCATCTTACCTTTCGGCTATTGTGTTTTCTATGCGAGTATTGAAAAATGACACGTATTCCTTTGGTCGTGTTATCCGCATACGAAACTTGGCCTTAATTTGAGGTTCATCGAAGCATGGAAATGCAGTGCGTGCATCGGTGCGATGCAATTGTGTCATAACATACCAACTGAAATATCAAAGAAAATTGCATTTTTTAAGATATAATATGGTAATATATAGTAGTAATAGTCAAAAATATGAAATAAATAACACTGTGCTACAAAATTCAATTATTCCAGCTGATTCTGAGAGTTGAATCATTTCAAAAAAAAAAAAAAAAATCCGTCGAAATGTCGCTCAAAGGAAATAATTTATTGTGGCCTTACGAAGACGTGATCCTTGGCATAATAGGTTGTGCCCATTTCGAACTTTAAATACGAAATTTGAAAATATTCCGGCAAAAAATTTCGGTAATATCATCAAAATACCAAATAAAGGGAGGTACTGTTATATGTGGGCTAAATGAAGACGTGGACCAACATAGCTAATTTTCCGTCATAGGTAATGGTACTCATTACGGGCTTTAATTACGAAATTTGAAACAATTTCGGTCAACAATGTCCCTATAACCACCAAAATACCGAAAATCTGGGGGATGTTTGGGGGCTTTAGGAAGAATATATACAGTGTGAGATAAAAAACCTGCAACAAAGTCAAACGCCATAGTTTTTTCCATGTTTTTTAATATTATTGAATGAAAGCAAAAAATGTCGAAAATAGCATCAAATTTTAATTTTTTTCGAATTGGTCACCTTTGGCACGAATTATGGCCTTCAAACGGCCAATGAAACCGACACACACTGCCCGAATGTTGATCTGCGGTATTTTGGCACATTCCCGGCGAAGCGCTTATTTGAGGTGATCGACACTTTGGTATTTTTTAGAGCTAACCTTGCTTACCAAAAAACTCCAGACACAATATTCCAACGGATTGGTATCCGGAGATTTTGGTGGTCATTGTGCGAGGAACCTATTTTTTTAACCATTCTTGGGTGGCGTGTGCTGAGTGCGATGGTGATGAGTCCTGTTGGAATGTCCAAGGTCTGCGGACAAAATGTTAGCGTGCCCAAGGCTTTAATACACCCTCCAGAATATTTCCGCGATAATATTCGGCATTTATTCTGATGAGACGGTCGATTAATACGAGCGGAGAGCGACCATCGGCTGTTATGGCGGCACACACCATAACTATGACCAGCGCTTGAGTTTTGGTGGCCAACCGAAGGTGCACATTTTCAGCTGACCTCTTTGGCAAGTAAACACGATCATTTTGTTTGTTTACAAACCGCTGGACAACGAATGTTTTTTGCTCATCGGAGAAAATCAAATTCGGCAGTTCACCACTTTCGCCCAAGCGAAGCAACTCTTTAGCTCTTTTGAGTGTATTTTCTTTCTGTTGTGGTGTAAGTTCTTGCACTTTTTGGAATTTTAATGACTATACCCCGAGCTAATTTTTCAATATCTGCCGAATGGAATATTGCGATATGTTCAGCTCACGAGCCATTTTTCGGCCACTGCGACGCGGGCTTCGATCAAGTCGCTTCTTTACTTTTCGAACCATTTCTGCTGATGTTACTGTTTTCTTCCGTCCACTTCCTTGACGTCGGGCTACGCTACCAGTATCACGGTAACTGGCGATGGTAAGAGACACAAAATATTTATTCACATTGAAATGCTGGAGTGCTCTAACGATAGCCACTTGTGGTTTTTTAGCCAAATATAACGCTTGAATTCCTTCGCGAATAACTTTTTTTCTGGAAAATTCTCACCAAAATGCTTTTTTACGCTTGTAAACAATATAATGAGCCATCACTGGAATAATTTTAACAGTTGTCGGACGAGTGGCTTATTAATGACAGCAGTTTGAAGTTGGTTGCAGTTTTTTCATCTCACCCTGTACAAATTCTCTACATTGGTTGAAGTTCCATTATGAACTTTATTTAAGAAGTTTGAAACATTTCTGGTGAATGAACGTCGCAAAAATCATGAAAACACCGAATATCTGGGGGTATCGCAATATGGGGGCTATACTAAAACGTGGACCTATGTAGACAGTTTTCTTTCAGTACTCAGAAGAAACACCTGTGTGGATTTTTAGATAATTCTCTTGAAAAGTGTTGCTAAAATCATCAACATACCGAACATTCTGGGAAATCGTTTTACGGGGGACTTATAAAGACAATTCTCTTCTAGGGGACAAAGTACTCACAAGGAACTCCTTGTGTGGTTTTTCTGACAATTGCACTGGAAAATATGGCTACAATCATCAAAACACCGTGTTTCGAGAGGTACTGTTATATGGATGATATACGATATCGTGGAACTATATAGACAATTCTCTTCTAGGGGATAAAGTATTCACAATTCCATTGAAAAATGTGGATAACGTCATAAAAATACCGAATATCGGAGGGTACCGTTTTATGGGGGCTATACGATATCGTGGACCGATATAGCCCATCTATGAACTTGACTTGCCTGCAGACAGTAGAGTGATCTGTGCAAAAAATTTAGCTTCCTATCTTAATTCGTTTTGACTCTAGCGTGATTACAACACGGACGGACGGACGGACGGACGGAAAGAGCTAAATCGTCTTAGAATTTTACGCTGATTAAGAATATATATACTTTGTTGGGTATAAAATTATTTCTGTGAGTTACTGAGAACTTAATATACACTCCATATGGTGGAGGGTATACAAGAAAATAGAGGGGTCAAGTTCCTTGTCTCTATGGAAATGGAATTCACACGCCTTAACAAACGCCCCTCGTTCCAATGTGTATCAAATTAATAATTTTTGTTTACATTTAGCGTAGAATTCTCTCAAATGTTATTGACATTATCAATGACCGAAACTGGATTTGAGAATTAATTAGCCGCAATATTTGATTTGACACATAACAAAGAAGGGGGGAAACCACACACTGCACTTGAATGTTTAATGGCGGTGGGGTCCAATGAGATTACAAACCTGTTATCAGAATTCGTTGCTTTACCACATGACGAACTCTTTCTTGGAAAGAAACTGTGGGAAATTTTGTTTAAGGGACAGGGGAATGTAACAAATATCTTTTTAGAGCGTTATCTGAAAAATTTCTAGAGATTGTCTTTTTCCCATAGGAAGCCTTAGAAATACATAGTTCTCTAAGTAAAAATATCTATCTACAACCATCAGGTAATTCACTATATACAATGAGGGATTCTTCCCAAAACAACATAACAAAAAAAGAGTATTTGTCGTACCATCTTAGTATGTATACGTAAACCAACCAAGAGTTCAGAGAAGACTTCAAATAATAAGACAACTTAAAATGAGTGGCTCAAAAACTCAAAGCCGAGAGCAGGACCAAATAAGAGAGAAATTACGATTGGCAATAAATCAGTGTTAAATGAGCTTGAACTATTAAAACTTTAATGATGGTCAAATCGGCTATCCTCAAATTATTTATGATTTAGTTGATAATTGATGACGACGACTACAAACAAGTGCCAAGCTAATGGTATTTTGAAAATATTTCATGGTGCAAATTTTCGGATTTCTTGATTTTAGATTAAGATTTATTTCAAGACTGGGGTCATTAAAGAGCCCCTTGTGGGGTTTTTTAATAAAAATATGAATTAAAATTTCCTCTAAAAGAGAAATGGTTCGAAAAGTAAAGAAGCGACTTGATCGAAACCCGCGTTGCAGTGACCGAAAAATGGCTTGTGAGCTGAACATATCGGCATATTCCATTCGACAAATATTGAAAAATAAGCTCGGGGTAAAGCTATTAAAATTCCAAAAAGTGCAAGAACTTACACCTCAATAGAAAGAAAATAGATAATAATAGAGATGCTTCGCTTGACCGAAAGTGGTAAACTGTCGAATTTGGTTTTCTCCGACCAGAAAACATTTGTTGGCCAGCAGTTTGTAAACAAACAAAATTATCGTGTTTACTTGCCAAAGAGGTCAGCTGAAAATGTGCACCTTCGGTTGGCCACCAGAATCAAGAGGCGTCGATGGTCGCTCTCCGCTCGTACTAATCGTTCGTGGCATCAGAATAAATGCCGAATATTATCGCGAAAATATTTTGGAGGGTGTATTAAAGCCTTGGGCACGCTAACATTTTGGCCGCAGACCTTGGACATTCCAACATCGCATTCAGCAAGCGCCACAAAAAGAGGTTCCTCGATTCATTTCCAGCGCAAAATCTCCGGATACCAATCCGTTGGACTATTGTGTCTGGAGTATTTTGGAAAGCAAGGTTGTCACTAAAAAATACCAAAATGTCGATCACCTCAAGCAAGCGCTTCGCCGGGAATGGGCCAAAATACCGCAGAGCAACATTCGGCCATCGTGTCACGGTTTCGTTGGCCGTTTGAATTCGAACAAATCTAAACATATTCTAAAATTTAATGCTATTTCCGACATTTTTTGCTTTCATTCAATAACTTTTTTAAAAAAATGTAAGAATTGTAGCGTTTGACTTTGTGGAAGTTTTTTTATCTCACCCTGTATAGACTTGTTACGAACGTATTTGAGGGAAGTTGCCAACCTTACTTTGAAACAAGGAAAAAAGCAGCTAATTCGGGCGGCCAAACTGTTAATACCCTCCACCATTTAGAAGGAACTTGAAAAATTTCAACAAATTTCGAAAAATACAGTTTAAATGATGAACTTTATACGGGCCTGTGGGCCTGTACGAAGACGCGAACGTGCATAAGCGATTTTTTGTCATAAGCTGTAGTACCCATTAAGATCCTCAAATTTCAAACTATTTCGGCGAATAATGTCGCTAAAATCATCAAAATAACGAAAAAAGGAGGTACCGTTATATGGGGGGCTATACGAAGACCTGAACTTGCATAGACAGTTTTATGGCAAAGACTGTAGTTTCCATTACGAACTCTAAATAATAATAAATCATCAAAATACCGAATATTGAAAGCTTTCGTTATGTGGAGGTATCGTATTGTGGAAGACGTGGCAGGTGCATTGAAAAATGTAGCTAAAATTAAAATACCGAATATCGAGGGGTATGGTTACATGGGGGCTATACGATATCGAGGACTGGTTTTCTCGGTCATAACCCCCATAATGGAAAGGGGATTATGTCCAGAAATTTAGCACTAATATTGGGTGAGCTCAGTGCAAATAAATGTCGATGCGGAAAATCAAATTTCAATCGCGAAACTTAAAAAGCGTTTTTTCTCGCAACTGGATTTTATTTTCAGATGTGACACTCTTTGGCCAAATGGGCGATATATATTCAAAAAAAAAAGTTAACACTACTTACTTCTCATTATCATAGCTGGCACGATAAATACCTGCCGTCTCATTGCTGCGTATCCGACCTGAATATTTGAAATATAGTTTATACAACTTGTCAGCGGCTAAGTTCGATGACAATGGCACACTCAATTTGTTTGTAATCTCTTCATAATGTAATTTATCTTCGCCAATCCAGCGTTCGATGACTTTATCCTCAGCATCGTACAGCACCGTTTCCCAAATATCCAAATATGCCGAATGTAGGGTGATGTTACGAACGTTTATTCCTTCCTTTGCCTGCAGCGTTATATTGACTTCGCCATCGAAGGTGAATTGTTTGGCACCATCTCCCGCTTGCAGATAAGGTTTAATTTTGATATCATAGAAATCTGGTACAACATCTGTGTTAAGGCGATAGTCAATTATTGACTGAGATAAGGCGGGGCCAACGATTGCCAGTGTAAAAAATAATAATGAATATATGAATTGTCGTAAACAAGGCATGTTGTTGCTGCTGCTGTTGTTTGCTTGTTTGTTTTTTTTAAACAAACAGCAACCAGGCACTTGTTGCGTTCACTTTGACTTCAAAATTTAAACTGAAAATTGACGTTTGATTTACATGCACGCCGAAGGAATTTGGAATTAAATAACAAATCATCAAAAGCGAAATTAAAAAAAAAACGGATAGCGATTAATGAACTGTCGAGGGTTTTCCGTACATTAAAGGGGGCCTCAATCTGAAGGGGCCTTAGGGTTATCGAGGGTTAATATTAGAATCAATCGATTTCGTTTGAAATCAAAGAAAAATAAAAGTTTTAGAACACATACAGGGTGAAATGAAAAAAAATGCAACCAAATTCAGGCTGATGTCATTTCTAAGCTACTCGTCCGACAGCTGTTAAAATTATTCCCGTGATACTGGTAACGTAGCCCGACGTCAAGGAAGTGGACGGAATAAAACAGCAACATCAGCAGAAATCGTGCAAAAAGTAAAGAAGCGTCTTGATCGAAACCCGCGTCGCAGTGGCCGAAAAATGGCTCGCAAGCTGAACATATCGCAATATTCCATTCGGCAAATATTGAAAATGAGCTTGAAATAAACGGTGAATAATGCAGCTAAAATCATCAAAATATCGTACATAGAGAGGTACCGTTATATCGGAGCTGTGCGAAGACCTGAACCTGCATAGACAATTTTCTGTCACAGGCTGTAGCATCCATTACGAACTTCAAATACCACATCTCAAACAATTTCGGTGGGTATTGTACCTAAAATCGTCAAAATACCAAATATAGGGATGTATTGATATATGGGGCCTATACGAAGACCTGAACCAACATAGACAATTTTCTGTCACAGACTGTAGTTTCTATAACGAACTCTAAATACGTAATTTGAAACAATTCTGATAAATGATGACGCTAAAATCATGAAAATACCGAATATTGGGAGGTTCCGTTATATGGGGCTATACGAAGACGTGGACCTGCACAAACAATTTTCTGTCTTAGAGTGTAGTATCCATTTGGAACTTCAAATACCAGATTTGAAACAATTCCGGTGAATAATGTTGCTAAAATCATCAAAATACCGAATATCGGGGTGTACCGTTATATGGGGGCTATACGAAGACGTGGATATACACAGATTATTTTTCGTATTAGGCTGTAGTATCCATTACGAACTTCAAATGCCAAATTTGAAACAATTCCGGTGAATAATGTCGCTAAAATCATCAAAATACCAAATATCGGTAAGTACCGTTATATGGGGACTATATGATAACTTGAACCTATATGTGTGCAAAATTTTAGCCTTCTATCTCAATTTGTTCGAAAAATAGCGTGATTACAACAGACGGACAGACAGACAGACACACAGACAGACAGACGGACATGGCTAAATCGCCTTAGAATTTTACGCTGATCAGGAAATGTATACTTTGTTGGGCCTGACATAAGTATTTCGAGGAGTTACAAACGGAATGACAAATTTAATATACCCTCGATAGTATGGTGGAGGGTATAAAAATTATAATTCATAGGGCTTTTTTGATGAGTTGTTTCTTGGAGCAGAATCTATGTCATTAAAAAAATAACGTTCAAAAGCTGAGCGCCATTTGGATGTTTGATTGTTTTGACTCCATACTTGTAAAATATGTTTCATTTTCGTTTATATTTCAGAAAATATTATAATTTTAAGGCCCCTTTGTTTGGTTATGTTTTTTTTTTGGCCTTGCATTTACCTTTTAATTTAATACAACAAAGTGAATCATAAAATATTCCGCTAAATATTAGCCTCTGATAAGATTGTGGCGTTGTCTAAAGTCTCCACAATTAGGGGAGAATTTTGATAACGATTGTGCTTATCCAAATAGTATTATAATCGTTTGTTTGTGCGATTTTCTAACTCTTTTTATGGAAATAACCATCGATGTGGATCACAGAGAATGAGAGAACCCCTTACGAATCATATTCAAGAACCCAATAGCCCAAATATTGAACTAAGGGGAACTAATGACAAATATGTGCATCACGTAAATCTTCAATATCTAATTGCTTGGATCTCGGCAGGATAGAACATTATGTATTTCGTCAAACGGAAGAAATTTCGATTTCGGCTTCTTCCACAAGGTGACTCATTTTGGCATTTGCCCTTGTTCCCTGAAATGTACTAATGGCATATAACGTGGTTTTTTTAGTCTCCTCATCCGTGGCTGCCCCATGAGAATTTTTATATCCTACACTATAAAAAGGAGGCAATATTAAATTTGGTCTACCGGTGTGGCAACAGCAAAAACCAAGAGCAGGAACCAAGACCAGAAGGTCTTCTCACAGAAGACCACAAGGTCTTCTCATACAAGACTACATGGTATACTTATAGAAGACCACAAGATCTACTTATAGAAGACCAGAAGGTCTTCTCATAGAAGACCGGAAGATCTTCTCATAGAAGTCCAATATTTCTTCATATAGGAGTCCAGAGACCAGAAGGTCTACTCATAGCAGACGAGTAGGTCTTCTCATAGGTGAAGACCAGAAGGTCTTCTCATAGAAGAAGACCAGAAGGTCTTCTCATAGAAGAAGACTAAAAGGTCTCCTCATAGAAGAAGACTAGAAGGTCTCCTCACAGAAGACCGGAAGGTCTCCTCATAGATGGCCGGAAGGTCTTCAGATAGAAGGCCAAAAGATCTTCTCATAAAAGACCGAAAGGTCTTCTCATATGCGACCAGAAGGTCTTCTTACAGAAGATGACGGAGACATTCTTACAGAAGAAGGTCTTCTTACCGTTCCAGAGGATCTTCTCATAGAGGACCAGAAGGTCTTTTCGAAGAAAGCCCTCCAATAGAAGACCAGAAGGTTTTCTCATAAAATATGTCTTCTCATAGAGGACCATAGAGGACAGATGTCTTCTCATAGAGGACCAGAAGGTCTTCTTTCAGAAGATCTGAAGAAGACATTCTTACAGAAGAAGGACAGATGTCTTCTCATAGAGGACCAGAAGGTCTTCTTTCAGAAGATCTGAAGAAGACATTCTTACAGAAGAAGGTATTCTTACCGTTCCAGAGGATCTTCTCATAGAGGACAAGAAGGTCTTCTCACAGAAAGCCAGAAAGTCCTCCAATAGAAGACCAGAAGGACCAGAAGGACTTCTCATAGAAGACCAGGCGGATTTCTCATAGAAAACCAGAAAGTTTTCTCATAGAAGACCAGAAAGTTTTCTCATGGAAGACCAAACGATCTTCTCATAGAAGACCAAACCAAAATCTCATAGAGGGACAAGTGGTCACGACCAGAGGGTCTTCGAAAATGCACTGCTACCATATAATCTTATTCCGAATATTTCACACACACTTTAGTTTATATATTTCACAAAGTAAAGCTGTTTGTTTTTATTTACACAACAAAAGTGAACATTTCATTTCAACCTTAAATCTGCTTACCAGATTTTATTGAATAATACAAATAAAAATAAAGGCACCAGCAAGGACATGCCCTGGAGTGTTACTGCTGAATTACGTTCATCCAAATATTGGAAAAGGCTACCCAGATACTTTTCGGACCAGGCCAAATTTTGCTCCACATTCTTGACGGCATTTTCCAGTGTTGTAATCGAGGTGCCAAACAAATGGCCCTTTGTGTCAACGAAGTCCTGTAGCATTTTCAATTGTTGCGGTGTGGTAAAGTAATTGGCTAAACCACTGATAACCGTGGCAGTAGCTGACCAGCTACCCAAACTGAGGGGAAAAAAGGAAAACAAAATCAATTAGGCAATTAAACAGAAAAACTGTTGCGGGGTAGGGTTTCTTACGCTCCAGCCAAGACATCCACACTTTCCGAGATGGTATTAAACAATGGTTCCACATTTTCCGGCGTTTGTGTGTATAAGGCATTAATGCCGGCAGTCTTCATATCCTTTGGAACAGCCTCACTCAGTAAGTAGAAATAGTGGTGCTCCATATATTCCCGAGTACAGCCCATGGTACGTAAAATTTTCTCCTTTTGTTTTTGGAGGTTGGGGCTAACGAACATTTGCTTCAATGAATAATAAATGTGGTAGTTAGAATAGCGATTGGCGGCACAGTAGAGAGTTTCCTGGAAATCAGCTGGCACATGCTCGGTCTCCCATGATGGGTAATATTGTTGGGCCTTTAGATTACAATCGTCATGATGATATCTACACAGCCAAGATATGATCTTATTGCGATTGTAGACATCCAAAACGGTGTCATTGGGATTTTCAAATCCCAACTTTTTATACACCGCAGACGTGATATCAAATAAAAATTTGCCAAATTGCTTGTGTTGTTGCAAGGTGAAACGTTGGCTTATCACATCGAATGCCTTGAAGACCGGATTCCAGGGTAAATATTCAACTTCCGTTGCCAAATATTCCATAAAGGCAAACACTTTGTCGTAGCCCATGAGGCCAATGCGTCCATAGGTAAAGAGGTCATCGATCAAATGGGCCCGATTAATAACATGAATGCCACTGTGATTGCTGGCCTTCAGAGCTTCGCTTATCTTATCCAGCAGTTGTGGGTCATAGAAAACGCGATGATAGTTGGATTGTTGTAAATTCAAAATAATCCACTTATCTGCTTTCGAATCGCCAAATACCAGTTCGTTTTGGGTTTTATTGAAATAAAATTTCGGTGTGAGGTCATCGAAATTCTTTTCGCTATCGGTGGTGTAGGTTATGGGTATGGTATATTTTAGGCTTAGATCACTTCCATCTGTGGGATCCAGGATGAAACGTTGTTGTTTTAGCACATAACTCCCGGATTCGGTGGTCGTAATATTTATGATGGGAAAACCCGGCTGTTCGGTCCAATCACTGAATAATTGTTCTAAATCGACATGATGATCGCTTGGCCAGTGCTGTTTCCAGTGTTTGAATAGGTCGGCGGGTACAGTACTTTTCAAGTGGCTGAAAAAAACGGAAATTATGTTAATATGAGATTATGAGAAAATACATCGATTATAAAATACAGGGAAGATCTCTAGAAGGATTGCTCTGGATAGAAGGGGTCTAGAGGCCATCCAATCTACAAAAGGCCTTACTACGGGATAGATGAACTTGGTGTTAGTATTCTATAGATAAATGTACTGTTTATGATTAGGAGACCTAAAGAAGGGAGTTTTTTGGATAGAGAATTAATATAAGATCTTCTATGGATGAAATGTATTTTAAGTATAGAAGACCCACAGAAGATCTTCGATGCAAAATAGACCTATAGAAGGTATTTGAAAATAGGCTTACAGCAGACTAGAAGAAGGAGAGAGGGACTATTGAATATATTTTAATATTAGAAAATCAATAGCGAATCTTGATTTGACTGAAGGTCTTAAAAAAGTTTTCTCACTGGGGTTTTTTTGAATAGAGGGCCTTGGTGTTGGTATTCTATAGATAAATTTACCACATAAGATCTTCGATGGATAAAAAATGTTTTTTTTTTTGGATAGGAGACCTAGAGAAGGTATTTTATGGATAGAGAATTGTTTTAAGATCTATGGATAGACGAACTAGAAAAGAGTTCTATGGATGAAATGTATTTTGAGTATGGAAGACCCACAGAAGATTTTTGATGCATAATAGACCTATAGAAGGCATTTGAAAATAGATTTACAGCAGACTAGAAGAAGGACAGAGGGACTATTGAATGTCTTTTACAATTACAAAATCAATAGCGAATCTTGATTTGACTGAAGGCCTTAAAAAAGTTTTCTCACTGGGGTTTTTTTGAATAGAGGGCCTTGGTGTTGGTATTCTATAGATAAATTTACCACATAAGATCTTCTATGGATAAAAAATGTTTTTTTTTTGGATAGGAGACCTAGAGAAGGTATTTTATGGATAGAGAATTGATATAAGATCTATGGATAGACGAACTAGAAAAGAGTTCTATGGATGAAATATATTTTGAGTATAGAAGACCCACAGAAGATTTTTGAAGCATAATATACCTGTAGAAGACATTTGAAAATAGGCTTACACCAGGCTTGAATGTCTTTTACAATTAGAAAATCAATTTCGAATCTTCATTGGACTGAAGGTTTTCAAAAAGTTTTCTGTAAATAGAGTAAACATAGAAATCTTTGTATGATTAGAAGAGCTACAAACGATCATCTGGATAACGCGGATAAACCACTTACGTATATGCATTTATTTAGGATAATGCATTTATGTAACACAGATAATTCATAGGGTTACTGTCATGCGGACAACGGGATAGTCCCTTTATGTAATTTGGGTAACAAGGATAATGCATTTGTGGCATTTGTATAACGTGGATAATAAATTTATGTCATTTGGATGACACGGATGTCATTTGGATAACCTGGATAAAAAATATTATATAATTTCAATAATTCCAATAGTGAATTGCTGGCGTTTTGCATTTGACATTTGGATAAGATTATTTGAATCATGTGGATAATACATTTACGCATTTGGATGACACGGATAATCTATACATGCCATTAGGATAACCTGGATGAAAAATGATATGATTATAATAATTCGGATAGTGAATTTATGACGCTTTGCATTTGACATTTGGATAAAATTATTTGGATAACGTAGACATTTTTATCATTTTCATATCGCGGATAAGACATGGTGGTGGATAATCCATTTGCATAATTTGGATAACGTGGATAATCCATTTGCATAATTTGGATAACGCGGATATTCCATGTACAGGGACGGGGAAATTCCAAAAATAATCCATTTGTGTCATTTGGATAAGGTGGATAATGCATTTATGTAATTTGGATAAAGCGGATTTCTGTCATTCGATCAACGCGGAGAATGTATGTATGCCATTTTGATAAAGCGGATATTCCATTTATATCATTTGCATTAGGTTTATAACGCATTATTGTCATTTGGATAACGCGGATAATACATTTTGTCCTTTGCATAACGCGGATAATACTTTTATGTCGCGCATAATACATTTATGTAATTTGGATAACGGGGAAAATACATTTATGTCCTTTGCATAACATGGATAATGCATTTATGCCATTTGGAAAACGTGGATAATACATTTAGGTCCCTGGATAATGCGTTTATGCCATTTGGATAACGTGGATAATACATGTACGTCATTTAGACAACGCGGATAATCCATTTATATTATTATATTGGATAATATATTTATGCCATTTGGTTAACGTGGATATTCCATTTATATCATTAGATCGGATAATGCATTTATGTCATTTGGATAACGCGGTTAATACATTTATGTCCTATGTATAACAAGGATAACACATTTATGCCATTTGGATAATACATTTGTATTATTTGGATAAAGCGGATAATTCATTCAAAGCATTTGCATAAGGCGGACAATATATTTTTGTCATTCGGATAACTTGTATAAAACTATCCTATGGATGAAACATCTAAAGAGAGCTTTTGAGTATAAGTCCTGTGGAACGTCTTCTATTGCTAGAACTCTTCTGGGAATTATATTAATTCAATAGATAGAAGATCTGTAAAGGGCTTTCTATGAATAGAATTCACATCATTTCCATAAGGCGCACAATACATTTGTATCATTTGGATAAAGCGGATAATTCATTCAAAGCATTTGCATAAGGCGGCCAATACATTTTTATCATTCGGATAACTTGTATAAAACTATCCTATGGATGAAACATCTAAAGAGAGCCTTTTGAGTATAAGTCCTGTGGAACGTCTTCTATGGCTAGAACACTTCTGGGGATAAAATTAATTCAATAGATGGAAGATCTGTGTAGGGCTTTCATCGAATAGAGCTGTCACCATCGAAGAACCCTACAAGGTCTAAGTTAAATATAAGACTAAAAGGATATGACACCGGTTCATTAGGTCATTAAAAAAAAATTCGTCTATGTATAGAAGACAGTATGATAAAAGACAGACATAAAAATAGATGGAAGGAGTCCTGCCTGCAAATTGCACTTACTTCTCTTTTAAATATTCTCTCAGAGAATTATCAAAATTCTCTTTGCCCATTAAATTGCAGAACATACGAACAATTGCCGCACCCTTGGCATAGGTGATGCCACTGAATTTATATGCCACCTGTGATGGACTGTTGATGCTCTCTTCGGGACTTGTCAGCGGTTGGGTGCTCTGGGTGGCATCGGTGCCGAATATCAAATGTATTTGATTCACCACAAATTGTTTGTCCAGTTCAAATTCAGGATAGATCTAGAATATAATTTTGAAAAATAAAAAATTATAGAAAAATTAAAAGTATTTTCTGGGGGGCGTGGGCGCTGGACTTACCTCATGTGCCAAATAGTATTGATAGTAACGAGCAAAGGCCTCATTTAGCCAAAAGTAACTCCACCATTTGAATGTGACACTGTTGCCAAACCACATGTGAGCCGTTTCATGGACCAGAATTGTGACCGTATATTCCTTGTCCGCCCAACCATCGGTGTAATTGGTTTGATGAGATAAAACTGAGTCACTGGAAAAATATAAAAAAATAATAATAATAAAACTTAAAAAAATTCGGTAAAAAATGTAGCTAAAATCATCAAAATACCGAATTTAGGGAGGTACCGTTCTATCGGGGATATACGAAAACCTGGACCTGCATAGACAATTTTCTGTCACAGAGGAACTTCCAATACGAAATTTCAAAAAACAAAAAAAAAAAAAAAAAAAAAAAAATCGTTGAATATTGGACCTGCATAGACAATTTTCTGTCTGTAGTACCTATGAGGAACTTCCAATACGAAATTTCAAAAAAAAAAAAAAAAAAATCGGTGAATATTGTACCTAAAATCGTCAAAAGACAGAATATAGGGAGGTACTGATATACAGGGTGAGATGAAAAAACTGCAATCAACTTCAGACTGCGTGATAGTGTAATTTCTTTATATTTGGCTGAAAACCACAAGTGACTATCGTTAGAGCACTCCAGAATTTAAATGTCTCGTACCAACGTTCGTTACCGTGATACTGGTAGTGTGGCTCGACGTCAAGGAAGTTGACGGAAGAAAACAGCAACATCAGCAGAAATGGTTCGAAAAGTAAAAAATTCGTACCCGCGTCGAAGCGGCCGAAAAATGGCTCGGGAGCTAAACATATCGCAATATTCTATTCGGTAAATATTAATAAATGAGCTCGGAGTAAAATCATTGAAATTCCAAAAAGTACAACATCTTACGCCGCAACAGAAAGAAAATGGACCAAAAGAGCTAAAGAGTTGCTTCGCTTGACCGAACGTGGTGAACTGCCGAATTTGGTTTTCTCCGATGAGAAAACATTCGCTTGGCCACCAGAACTCAAGCGCCGGTCATGCTGGTGGTGCGGGCCGCCATAGCAGCCTATGGACGCTCACCGCTCGTATCAATCGACCGTGGCATCATAATAAATGCCGTATATTATCGCGACAATATTCTGGAAGGTGTATTAAAGCCGTGTATTAAAGCCATTCCCGCGCTTCGCCGGGAATGGGCCAAAATACCGCAGAGCAACATTCGGGCAGCGTGTGACGGTTTCACTGGCCGTTTGAAGTCCATAATTCGTGCCAGAGGTGACCAATTCGAACAAATCTAAACTTATTCAAAAATTTGATTCTTTTTCCGACATTTTTTGCTTTTATTCAAAAAATTAAAAAAAAAATGTAAAAATTATGACGTTTGACTTTGTTGCAGTTTTTTTTTTATCTCACCATTTATATAGAACGACTCAGCTTGGCGAGATAGCAAGATACATATATAGTTTCTTGGTCCAATCAAACTTATAATACTTCCAACACATACTGTTGTGGGGCATAAATAGCAGCAATTTTGGTTCATTAACAAATAAAAAGCTGTATGCTTGGCCCGGCCGAGCTTTTAGTACCCTCCACCATTTAGAACGAATTTGGAAAATTTCAATAAAACAAAATCCGTTAAAAATTCTGTTAAAACCTTAAAAATACCGAATATAGCCGTTATATTGGGGTATTCAAATATAAAACTTGAAAAAAATCCCTTGAATAGGGAGGTACTGTTCTATCGGGGCTTTACGAAGACCTACATAGACAATTTCACAGTCTGCGGTTCCTATTAGGAACTTCCAATACGAAATTTCGTTGAATATTCTATCTAAAATCATCAAAATACCGAATATAGGGAGTCGCTGATGTATGGGGCTATACGAAGACCTTAACCTGCATACACAGCTTTCTGGCATAGACTATAGTTCCTACGAACTCTAAAATATAAAAAAATATAACTCCGGTGAGTTATGTCCCTAAAATCGTCAAAATATCGAATAGCGGAGGTCACAGTTGTATGGGGGCTATACGATATCGTATCGTAGAACTTTTGACAGAGATGTCACATTGCTTAATGACATGCCGCGTTTGAAGCGTCAGTCCAAGCAGATATTTACCATGAACCAATACACGCCACGCGAGCGCGCTGAAATAGTCATTTGTGTCAATTGAAGTCAATTGAGAAAACTCAACGTGCTTTTAAAGCAATAAAAAATGTGAGAAGTTCGCCTTCTAAGAACACCGTTAAGCGTTTATACGAAAAATTTTCGAGTGGTAAGGCTCTTTCTAATCCGCAGAGGCCATATAAAAGTCGACCAAGGCGATCGGCCGAGAATATCGCTGCCGTACGAGCCAGTGTTGAGAGGTCCTCAAGAACATCCCAAAAACGCCGTTCTCAGCAGTTGGGCATGGCTTGGTCCACTTTACAACGGATTATTCGCATTGATTTGCATTTGTTCCCGTACAAAATTCAATTGACGCAAAGAATTTTGCCTGCGGACAAGCCTCGTTGATTGGAATGGACCCAAAGGTCCGTCGAATATGGGCAACCCTGTATTGTGGAGGTTATAAAACCCTGTTTTATTTCATTTTTTATGGGCCACATCTGTCTACTTTTCCACATATGTCGAATATGGGCAACCCTGTATGGTGGAGGGCATAAAACCCTGTTTTAAGTTATTTTTTATGAGCCACATCTGTCTACTTTTGCACATATGTGTACAAATTTTTTTGGTTCGGAGACTAACATTGAATTCTAACACCCCGCAAAGCGGCAATTACTTTCAAACTTGTTTTTTTTTACTTACTGATATATAACCAATCCCCAATTTTCCATACCATTGTGGGGGAAACGTCTTGAGCCAGCCTTTTGCATTAACGCATTACCCAATGTCTTATAGGGCAATTGGGTGTATTTGTCATAGGCTGCTATTGTTTTCAGGGCAACTTCTCGCGTATAGGCCGTGTTGTTCATTAGCGATCGATGAATAATCAATTTGAAGTCATCATCACCCTGGACTTCGAAAGGTCCGACCATAAAGGCAACCAAATACGTGGACATGGGTGGAGTGGTATCGAAATAATCCGTGTAACGGTTATTGCTAAAATTCAAATTCCAAAATTAAAATTTAAAAATTATGTTGGTATTCACTTTCTTACCTCTCTGCCTGGGAGTTTAAAATTCTGGTATTGAAAAATGACAAATAGTGGTTGGGTCGGGTAATGCGCATCCGGAATGTGGCCTTCAATTGGGGTTCATCGAAACATGGAAAAGCAGTGCGGGCATCAATCCGTTGCAGTTGGGTAATGGCATACCAATCGGATATATAGATCGCACTACAAATAAATTACATACATAAATGTTTTAATTAAATGATTTAAAACCACACCCATTCACCTTACCTCTCATCGTCATACGTGCCGCGGAAAACACCCGCCAAACCACTTCGAATTTGTCCAGTGTAATTAAAATACAAACTATAATTTCTATCGCGCACCAATGCCGTTTGTAAGGGCACGGTCAGTTTATCCGTTAATGTTTCGTATAACAGTTTTTCACTGGCAACGCGCTCCACAATTCGTCCCTCGCCATCATACAGAATCGTATCCAAAATCTCAATATAATCCTTGTGCAGAGTGATATTTTTGACATTTTCTTCAACGGCATGCAGTGTTATGTTGACCTCACCGTCAAAGGTAAATTTTTTGGCTCCATCGCGAGTCTCCAGATAAGGTTTTATGGCTATGTCATAACCAGTGGGTATAACATTTTTTGGCAGGCGATAATTTTGGGCCAGAGTACCGCGACTTGCCCCCAGCACAAACAGGCACAAACAAATGATAAACAATTTCATTTCAATGCCGTAAATTAACTGTTGGAACACATCAATTGCCACCAGTCCGAGCCGATCCGATCCGCGTTGTATTGTTGTTTGCTGTCAGCGAAATGTTGATTAAGACTGGTATGGTGGTCTACAGCGAAATCGCAAACAAGAAATCGAAAGTATTGAAGTACTATGAAATTTGAACGCCACGCGATTAGATCTGTGGAGAGAATTTTATTTCATTCAATAAGTGTTGAAAATAATTGAAGATAACTTTTTTTTTCTGCTTTTGCAAAAACATCACCACATCGGGGATGTCCCCTTGGCAATAGGGGTAGTGTGATAATTTGGGTATCACAAACTTTTAAATTGCGCTTTCTGATTAACACGATAATTTGAATGAAAGTAAGTATTACCGAAGGTCTTCTAAAAAATAAATCCCAGGTCTTCTCATAGAAAAGCCAAAGGAATTCTAAAGGAAGTGCCGCCTTCTTCGAAGTCTTCTCATAGATGAGCAGAAGGCCTTCTCATACATGAGCTGAAGGTCTTTTCATTGATAAGCTGAAGGTCTTATCACTGAAGAGCAGAAGGTCTTCTCATTGAAAACGGAAGATCTTCTCGTAGAAGTCTCGAAGGTCTCTTCTCACAGAACATAAAAAGATCTCTTCTCACATTCTCGGAGGTTGGAGGTTTCTTCTTCTCATGAAAGAGCCGAAGGTCTCTTCTTCTCACCGAAGAGTCAAAGGTCTCTTCTTCTAACCGAAAAATCAAGGGTCTCTTCTTCTCACTGGAGAGTCAAAGGGATCTTCTTCTCACCGACGAGTTAACGGTCTCTTCTTCTAACCGAAGAATCAAGGGTCTCTTCTTCTCATAAAGGACCGAAGGTCTCCTCTTCTCACGGAAGAGCCGAAGGTTCATTCTTCTCATCGAAGAGTCAAAGGTCTCTTCTTCTCACGAAAGAGCCGAAGGTTTCTTCTTCTCGAAGGCTCTTCTCACGGAAGAGCCGAAGGTTTCTTCTTCTCATAGAAGAGCCGAAGTTTTCTTCTTCTCATAGAAGAGCCGAAGGTTCATTCTTATCATCGAAGAGTCAAAGGTCTCTTCTTCTCATAAAAGGACCGAAGGCTCTTCTCACGGAACAGCCGAAGGTTTCTTCTTCTCATAGAAGAGCCGAAGGTGTCTTCTTCTCATAGAAGAGCCGAAGGTGTCTTCTTCTCATAGAAGAGCCGAAGGTGTCTTCTTCTCATAGAAGAGCCGAAGGTCTCTTCTTCTCATAGAAGAGACGAAGGTTTATTCTTGCCATAGAAGAGACGAAGGTTCATTCTTGCTATAGAAGAGCAGAGGGTCCCTTCTTCTCATAGGCCATAAAAGGCAACGAAAGTAGTAAAAATTATCAGAGGAAAAGGGAATGTCCTTTTAGAGCAGGGCCGTGAAAGAGCACATTAGGGTTTCCACAATTTTTGTAACCTATACCACACTGTGATAAGGTATTATGCCTATGTGCATTTGTTTGTAACAAAGAGAAGGATAGTACCTTTTGATGATCTGCACAGAATTACATTCATTACATTCGATTTATGCATGTCCGTCCGTCTGTCCATTTATTATTGTAAACAAAGTACTGGTGGCATTTATTGCCCGATCTAAATAAAATGTTGCACAAAACATTTGTTTGGTCCAAAGACGATCCCTACTGAAATTGGAGGATTGGATTGGAAAATTTAGATATAGCTCCCATATATATCTTCAACCGATTTACTTTTATTGCGCATCAAATGTGAACTATTAGTCAAAATAGGATGGAATTTGGCACATATAACCAAATTGAGCCTAGAAACTAGTGTGCCAAATTTGGTGGAAATCGCCTGAGATATAACTTAAATATATATTGTTCATCCGAATTGTTATTTTTGTCTTCCACAGCTGTAGTATGCACCCCGTTTGCAACAACGATATTGGAGAAAATATATCAAATATAGCTTAGAAATAAATTCGCCAAATTTTATCGAGATCGGTTCAGATTTGGATATAGGTCCCCATAAAATTCAAATTGGTCTAGGACATCATAAAGTCGGTCCCGCCGACTTTGAGCCTTTCTTTACTGGTTTTACTAAGTGTGGTGCGAATGATGTTCATCCAGAAAATTTTATTCATCACCAAAGTCAATTTCCATAATGTCAGATCTTGAGAACAGTCATCCAATTTTTGCACACACATTCATGTTTGTCCCTCGGGCCCTTTACTTAAAATAAACGTGGTAGGCCCCGCCCAAATGTAATCTTTCTCCTCCTGGCTTATTATCGAAAAGTATTTCTATTATTCGAATGAGATAATCGATTTGCAAAGATAGCAGAGCGAAAGTAAAACAACTACCACTATATTCGATTTATAAGAACTCATGCACCCAACAGCACCTGATTGTTACCTATAACTGCAATTAACTAATTTTATGATCAGATAATACCGCTATCAGTTATGATGTTATTCGATAAGGATTTTGGTAATAATACATATAAATATATTGGTTTATTTTTAATGGATTAAAAACTAGGCAACGACTTTTACAAACAACAAATTGATAACTAAAATGGGACTGCAGGACCCCTTAGCACAAGAAACGTGCCAAAACGGCAAACAGTACCATGGAGAGGGCGGTGAAACCGCTCAAACTGGCACTACCACCAGTAGTGTACTTCTCCAAATGTGACTTGAAAACACCCAATTTGTTGGTGGCCCACAACAAATTCTCAGCCACTGTATTTTCGGCAGCATCCAAGGTACGGGCAGAGTTTCCGAATTTCGATCGGTTTTGGATATTGAAATTCTTTAGCTTAGTCTGTTGCTGGGTAGTTGTGAAACGGGCAGCAATACCAGAGATGGCCGATGCAACCGAGGAATAATCACCCAAACTGAAAGTGCAAAATATAAAAATTAGTGCATTGAAACTGCAAACAATACGTGATTTACTTACGCTTCAGCCAATTTATCCACATTTTCAGTAACCAGATCGAAAACAGGTTCAACATTCTCATTGTTTTCACTGTACAAACTGCTGAGGGCAGAAGATTTGTCCTGGCGACGAATCTTATCCGATAAAATGATGTTGAAGAATTTTTTCACAAGATCCGAGTCCTTGACACAACCCAGAGAGTTCATAATCAGAATGACTTCGGTGGCTACAGTTTCTTTCAGGTATTTGTTGTAGAGTCTATCGAAATCCTGTTGGGTTCCCTCACGCATGGCAGTACAATAGACGACGGAACGAATATTCACTGGCACCGGTTTGTTGTCCATATTCTTGAAATATTCCTGGGTCTTGGTGATGCATTCCTTTTTGCCGAATTTACAAGCCCATGACAAGATCTTGGCACGATTGTAAATATCCAAGGTGGTATCAGTTGGTTTATCTTCGAAGCCCAAGAAATCGTAAGCCTTGGAGGTCATATCACGAATGTAGACGGCAAAGTTTTTGGTCTCAACACCCAAACGAATAACCAAATAATTGTAGCCATTGAAGGCAGCAGTCCAGGGCAGGTAATTTGTTTCGGTCTTCAAATAGGCCAAGATATCGAGAGCCAACTCATAGTCAATGACACTGGCGCGGGCCAAGTTGAAGAGATCGTCCACAACCTGGGCACGATTCAGCTCATGGATGCCACCCCAGTTGTTGGTGAGCAAAGCATGATGGATACCATGCCAGGATTTAACATCATAGTTGACACGATAATAACCGGTTTCCTGGATATTACCAATAACCCAGGAGACAGCTTGAGGCAAGGTTTGTTCGACACTGGTAGCGGTCGTAACAAACAATTTGGGTTCGGTCGAATTGAAATTGTTCTCAACATTGGTGGTATAGGTAATGGGTACAGTGTACAATAGGCTGCCGTCGGCACCATCACCTTCCTTCAACAGGAAACGTTTTTGGCTAATAACCAAAGTGGTGGGTGTGGTCAAATTGAAGGTTATCACTGGATAACCGACTTGTTCGGTAAAGCTCTTGAACAGACCATCGGCATAGTTTTGGAATTTGGCGGGAGTGTGTTTCTTCCACATGGCGAACAAATCTGAGGGAACGGTATTGGTGTATTCGCTGGCGGAGAGTAAAGAAAAGAAAAATAATTTTGGTAATAAATGCATAATTTTTAAGTTATTCTAAAGGGAGTTGAAGGTACCTATGAGGCCTGTTTTTTTGTTTTCCTAATTTATATTAAAATAATGACCTGTAAATTATAGCCTAAAAGTATGCATGACACAATTAAAAAATTACATTATAAACCTGTAGGGAAAGGTCAAAAGTTGGGCGCGACCGACTATATGATACCCTACACCCCTATGCGTATTTTATATTGGGAATTTTTGTGAAGTAAATTATACCACCTAAGAACCCAATAACATTGCTGCATAGTGCATGATATGAGTTCGATAAGGATTACATTAAAAAATAGTTATTGGAGCAATAGTTATACCGGACGGGATTTCACCAAACGTTAAAATTCGGTTAAATATGAACAAATCTATTGAATTTGAGCTGATATATGACATATACAGGGGGAGATGAAAAAACTGCAACTAACTTCAGACTGCTGTCATTTCTAAGCCACTCGTCCGACAGCTGTTAAAATTATTCCAGTGGCAGCTCATTATATTGTTTACGAGCGTACAAAAGCATTTTGGTGAGAATTTTCCAGAAAAAAAATTATTCGTGATGGAAATCAAGCGTGATAGTTTGATTACTTTATATTTGGCTTAAAACCACAAGTGGCTATCGTTAGAGCACTCCAGCATTTAAATGTGTTTTGTGTCTCGTACCATCGCTCTATAACATGATACTAGTAGCGTAGCCCGACATCAAGGAAAGTGGATGGAAGAAAACAGCAACGTCAGCAGAAATGGTTCGAAAAGTAAAGAAGCGACTTGATCGAAACCCGCGTCACAGTGGCCGAAAAATGGCTCGTGAGCTGAACATATTGCATTATTTCAATCGACAAATATTGAAAAATGAGCTGGGGGTAAAGCCATTGAAGTTCCAAAAAGTGCAAGAACTTACATCGCAACAGAATGAAAATAGACTCAAAAGAGCTAAAGAGTTGCTTCGCTTGGCCGAAAGTGGTGAACTGCCGAATTTGGACTTCTCCGATGAGAAAACATTCGTTGTCCAGCAGTTTGTAAACAAACAAAATTATTGTGTTTACTTGCCAAAGAGGTCAGCTGAAAATGTACACCTTCGGTTGGCCTCCAGAACTCAAGCGCCGGTCATGGTGATGGTGTGGGCCCCCATAACAGCCGATGGTCGCTCTCCGCTCGTATTAATCGACCGTGGCATCAGAATAAATTTCTGGAGGGTGTATTAAAGCCTTGGGCATGCAAACATTTTGGCCTCAGACCTTGGACATTCCAACAGGACTCAGCACCATCGAACTGAGCACGCGCCACCAAAGAATGGTTACAAAATGAGATTTCTCGCTTCATGTCCAGCTCACAGTGACTATTGTGTCTGCAGTATTTTGGAAAGCAAGGTTGGCACTAAAAAAATCCAAAATGTCGATCACCTCAAGCAAGCGCCTCGCCGGGAGTGGGCCAAAATACCGCAGAGCAATATTCGGGCAGCGTGTGACGGTTTCATTGGCCGTTTGAAGGCCATAATTCGTGCCAAAGGTGACCAATTCTTACCCTGTATTTATTTGATATATAATGGAAATATGGACTTTTTTCATTGGTGACTTATATTGGAATTTGATTAGGAATACTTCTGTCTTTCACGTTATCCTTCTAAAAGCGATAATTTGCAGGAGTATTTTGCATAAATGCGCATGAAACACTGATACACCTTTATATAATTTAGAGTTTTTTGTCTTCTAGTACCAATAGCAGAATTTGTTGGCAAAGAATTTTGTAGAATATCAAAAATGCCCCTTTTGAACCTCGCTTTTGGGTTAATATTTGCAACCGAAATAATCCTCTAATCTTTAACCGAAAGTTTCAAAAAATGTTGAAGAGGGGGAAAAATCTTAATTTGACCCTAAATGCCATGAAGCATACTTCGTCCAGAGGGTCTTGTGATCTGTTATTTCCATGACAATTTGGCGTATAAAGTAAGGCTGAGGATATAATATCAAAGACAAATTACCCCCAATACGACAATTGCAGCCTAAAAGTATGCATCATACATTGCCACACTATTTCAATACTTACTGTTTCTTTAGATATTCGCGCAGGGAATTCTTAAAGTTTTCTTCACCCATAAAATGCTTGACCATGCGAATGACGGTACCACCCTTGTTGTAGGAAATGCTGTTGAACATGCGGGCCAGATCTTCTTCGGTGTTGGTGTTTTCATCACTCATGGGATTTGTGCTGTTGGTCGAGTCCATGTTCATGACACTGTGGATTTGATCGACCACGAATTGTACATCCATTTGATAGTGGGGCTCGACCTAAAATTAAATTAAATAAAAAATTAATTCAAAATAATACCATTTTTTTTTTCTTTTTTTGCATTCTCACATTATGAATTGTAAAATATTGGAAATAGGTGGCAAATCCTTCATTCAACCACGTGTAACTCCACCATTCGCATGTAACCAAATCACCGAACCACATGTGAGCCTGTTCATGGGCCACAATACGGGCAATATTTTGTTGAGCACTCAGCGTTGTGGATCCTTCCTCATAGAGCAACACACGTTCACGATAGGTCAATAGACCCCAATTTTCCATGGCACCGGCCGAGAAATCGGGTATAGCAGCCATGTGCATTTTATCATTGCCCATGGAGTAATAGGGAATGTTAAAGTAGTCACTCAAGTCATTTAAACTCAATTTACCAACATCGTAGGCATATTCGGTTTGTTGATAGAACTCGGGCCGGGCAATGACGCCAAATTCACCATCGTAACGCTCATTGAACTCCGAGACAATAAAGGCCAAAATATAGGTGGACATTTTGGGTGTTGTCATATAACGATCGGTAACATAATCACTGTGCAGGGAGGGGGAAATTTAGTAAAATTTATGAATTTTGTGTTTTTGTTTCTCTTTTCTCACCCATTGGTGGTGCTGTTGACAATGCGTGTGTTACTGTAAGTCTTCATGCTCTTATGGCGGGTAAGGGCAACATCGAAAGTAGCCTTGAAGCGAGGCTCATCATAGGAGGGGAAGGCACGGCGAGCATGGTTGCGTTGGAATTGAGTTGAACCAAGCCATCTGAGAGGAAAATGAAAATTTATTATTATTTTTTTGGCTCAGAGAGATTTCCATTTAAAGGATATCAAATGGTTTTCCTAAAAATTTCGAGGAAATTTTGTTTCTGAATTAGAAACAAAAGAAAAATCCCCATCCCTCCCCTTACTTACTTTGTAACATTCTTGGAATCCGTGTAAGAACTACGATAGAAACCGTGCATATCATCATCCATGGTGCCCGTGTAGACGAAATGCAAAACATATTCCTGATTTGCCACCAAATCAGTGGTCAAACTATAGGTTACAATGTGGGTTACGTTGTTGGGTTCAACATTGGCTAGAGTTGTCTTCAAAGTTGGTTGACTCTTGGCATAAAATTCACGCAGAGAATATTTCAAATTTCTGCTGTGCAAAACCAATGTTCTTGTGTTAACTTTGGGCTTGATCGTAATGTAAACTTCACCATCGAAGGTGAAACGTTTCTCACTGGGATCGCTGTCCAATAGGTAGGGTTTCAGGGTTACGTTATAGTTTATGGGTTCAATATCGGTTATAAGGCGATAATTTTCTTCGGCAGCCGGAGCAATATTTACATTTTCCTCCGTCAGCGGTGCTGCCCAACTCAAACACAGGCATACTGCCAAAGTGGCAGCCACAATCATCGACTTCATGCTGAAGAAAATGATCTGAAAAAAACAGGAAATAAGATAATTGATTTTTGCTAGAATTTAAAAAAAAAATATTTTTTTTATTTGGAATATCGAAACCCGCGTCGAAGCGGCCGAAAAATGTCTCGAGAGCTGAACATATCACAATATTCCATTAGGAAAATATTGGAAAATGAGTTCGGGGTAAAGCCATTGAAATTCCAAAATGTGCAAGAACTTACAGCGCAACAGAATGAAAATAGACTCAAAAGAGCTAAAGAGTTGCTTCGCTTGGCCGAAAGTGGTGAACTGCTGAATTTGATTTTCTCCGATAAGAAAACATTCGTTGTCCAAAAGTCCAAAATCATCGTGTTTACTTGCCAATGTTCACCTTCGGTTGGTCACGAGAACTCAAGCGCCGACCATGCTGATGCCGCCATAACAACGGATAGTCGCTCTCCGCTCGTATTAATCGACCGTGGCATCAGAATAAATGCCGAATATTATCGGGAAAATATTTTGGAGGGTGTATTAAAGCCTTGAGCACGCAAACGTTTTGGCCGCAGACCTTGGACATTCCAACAGGACTTAGCACCATCGCACTCAGCACGCGTCACTCAAGAATGGTTACAAAGTCAAGAATGGTTCCTCGCTTCATTCCAGCGCACAATGGCCACCAAAATCTCCGGATACCAATATGTTGGACTGTTGTATCTGGAGTATTTTGGAAAGCAAGGTTGACACTAAAAAATACCAAAGTGTCGATCACCTCAAGCAAGCGCTTCGCCGGGAATGGGCCAAAATACCGCAGAGCAACATTCGGATAGCGTGTGACGGTTTCATTCGCCGTTTGAATGAAATAATTCGTGCCAAAGGCAACCAATTTGAACAAATCTAAATTTATTCTAAAATTTGATGCTATTTCCGACATTTTTTGCTTTCATTCAATAAAATTTAAAAAAAAAACTAAATAAAGACTATTTTTCAGAGGCTTCCAGACCAATAATCGTGGATTTTTTAAAGATATTTTCAGTGGCTTCCAGACCATAAATCTTGGATTTTTTAAAAAATATTTTTCAGTGGTTTCCAGACCAATCATTGTGGATTTTTTAAAGAATATTTTCAGTGGCTTCCAGACTATAAATCGTGGATTTTTTAAATAATATTTTCAATGGCTTCCAGACCATAAATCGTGGATTTTTTAAAGAATATTTTTTTGAAGTGGCTTTCAGACCAATAATCGTGGATTTTTTAAAGAATATTTTTTTGAAGTGGCTTTCAGACCAATAATCGTGGATTTTTTAAAGAATATTTTTCAGTGGCTTCCAGACCAATAATCGTGGATTTTTTAAAGAATATGTTTTTGAAGTGGCTTCCAGACCAAAAATCGTGGACTTTTTAAAGAATATTTTTTTTGAAGTGGCTTCCAGACCAAAAATCGTGGACTTTTTAAATAATATTTCTTGAAGTGGCTTCCTGACCAATAATCGTGGACTTTTTAAAGAATATTTTTTTGATGTGGCTTCCAGACCAAAAATCGTGGACTTTTTAAAGAATATTTTTTTGAAGTGGCTTCCAGACCAAAAATCGTGGACTTTTTAAAGAATATTTTTTTTGAAGTGGCTTCCAGACCAAAAATCGTGGACTTTTTAAGGAATATTTTTTTTTGAAGTGGCTTCCAGACCAATAATCGTGGATTTTCTAAAGAATATTTTTCAGTGGCTTCCTGACCAATAATTGTGAAATTTTTAAAGAATATTTTACAGTGGCTTCCAGACCATAAATCGTGGATTTTTTAAAGAATATTTTACAGTGGCTTCCAGACCATAAATCGTGGATTTTTTAAAAAATATTTTTCAGTGGCTTCCAAGCCAATAATCGTGGATTTTTTAAAAAATATTTTTCAGTGGCTTCCAAGCCAATAATCGTGGATTTTTTAAAAAATATTTTTCAGTGGCTTCCAAGCCAATAATCGTGGATTTTTTAAAGAATATTTAAAGAATATTTTTTGAAGTGACTTTTAGACCCAATAATCGTGGATTTTTTAAAGAATATTTAAAGAATATTTTTTGAAGTGACTTTTAGACCCAATAATCGTGGATTTTTTAAAGAATATTTAAAGAATATTTTTTGAAGTGACTTTTAGACCCAATAATCGTGGACTTTTTAAAGAATATTTGTTTTGAAGTGACTTTTAGACCCAAAAATCGTGGACTTTTTAAAGAATATTTGTTTTGAAGTGACTTTTAGACCCAAAAATCGTGGATTTTTTAAATAATATTTTCAATGGCTTCCAGACCATAAATCGTGGATTTTTTAAAGAATATTTTTTTGAAGTGGCTTCCAGACCAATAATCGTGGATTTTTTAAAGAATATTTTTTTGAAGTGGCTTCCAGACCAATAATCGTGGACTTTTTAAAGAATATTTTTCAGTGGCTTCCAGACCAATAATCGTGGACTTTTTAAAGAATATTTTTCAGAGGCTTCCAGACCAATAATCGTGGATTTTTTAAAGAATATTTTTTCGAAGTGACTTTTAGACCAGTAATCGTGGATTTTTTAAAAAATATTTTTTCGAAGTGACTTTTAGACCAGTAATCGTGGATTTTTTAAAAAATATTTTTCAGTGGATTCCAGACCAAACATCGTGGATTTTTTAAAGAATATTTTTTGAAGTGACTTTTAGACCAGTAATCGTGGATTTTTTTAAAAAATATTTTTCAGTGGCTTCCAGAACAAAAATCGTGGACTTTTTAAAAAATATTTTTCAGTGGCTTCCAGAACAAAAATCGTGGACTTTTTAAAGAATATTTTTCAGTGGCTTCCAGAATATTCTCCAGAAATTTTCGGAGCACTAGTGGTGATTTTTTTATAAGAAATATTTGCGAGGAAGTTGTTTTCTTTCCATCCTCAAGGTACGAAGTTGAAAAACCTCAATTTGCTTGATTTTGTGTTATTGACTTTCATGTAATTATAATTTGTATAATTTTATATTTATGCCAGAAAGAATATTGAACCGGTGTTATCCAGACACTTTTTGACAAAATTTCATTTCATTTGTTCATATTTTTTTTTTTTTTGTGTATTTATTGATCGGAAACATTCGCTTGAAGGAAGTTAAAGATCAAATTTTAATAACAAACACCACTGGGAACAGGTATTTTAAAACGTTGCATTTCCACTGTCATTTTCATTTCCATAAAATGTACTTCATGTTATTATATAATTTTTCAAATAAGTTGTTGTCGTTTTTTTTTAATTTTGTAGTTCTTTCTCATTGATACACAACACATTAGCTTCCGAATCACTTCCACATTTTCGTTTTCGATTACCCACCTTTTTGGAGGATCCTTTAAGGACTGAGATTTTCGGGGATTTTTTTTTTAATTTTATTCGAAAGTATGGCCAATAACTTTCGACCGGCCAACTGAAAGCTGGCACCAAGAACCGATTGAATTTATAACAAATTTTTAATTCGATACGTTTGAAGTTATCATAAGAATAATTGTTTTTTATGGGTCATTTGATAAGATTCCAGTTGTGTAGTTGAATTAACACTCATATATGTAGTTAATCGTATTGCAATCCAATACAGGCAATTCAAAGTCAAATGTGTTGGTGGCATGAGGTATGTCTCTTCCAAGAAAAAAAGTCAATGATTACAGTTATTAAACATTATTGACTCCACTGTCGGTTGATTAATGGATTTGTTGTATTTTTTTTTGTTTTTTCTTATAATTATTATGATTTTCTATATGTCGTACAAGTGCGCCTAAGTGACGATAGAACCTTAATACTCACGCGCTATATTTTAAAAACGATTTTTATTTTCTTTAATAGCCTTATCGCTTATCTCTCTCACGGTATGTAGCTACAAAGGAAATTATCCAATCTATCGCACGAACATTGACCATAAAAAACAATTCCGCTGCCATTGCTTACTTCAAGTGGTTGTTGAAAAATGCAGATCATTGCGATTGGTATATTTTGTATTTCGCAGGCCTGTTCAAGAAAATAATAATAACACAAAATAATTTCACATTTTTTGAAATTTTCGGATTAAGATGTTTTGGAGTCAGTGGAATATTACCGATAACAATTGAAGATTATTCGGATTAAAAGTAGGAGTTTTTAAAATTTACATCACAAAGAAACCTAAATAGAGTAGACAAATTTTCCCTTCTTTCTTCTTCTAGAAATAGTGTCTTCGGAAATATTTTTGAAAACAAAAAGAGGACTATTTGAGTCGACAGTTTTAACCCTCAAGCGAGTCCATAAGATGTTCTTTTTAGCCCTTTTTATACCCTCCACCATTCTACAGAGGGTATATTAACTTTGTCATTCCGTTTGGAACTCCTCGAAATACTCATGTGCAAAGTATATCTATTCTGGACAGGGTAAAATTCGAAGTCCATCTGTCTGCCTTTTGAAATTGTTTTGAATTATATATTTGTTTTGACTTATATCTAAAAAATATATTTATATATTTAAAGTTCGTTATAAAATAATCCTATGACAAAAAAAAATGCGTATGCGGTTCCATGTTTTCTTATAGGCCACATTACAACGATTCCTCCCCATATTCGGTATTTTGAAGATTTTATCGACATTATTTACCGATATTGTTTTGAAGATCTTAACCTATGATAAAAAAATTTACCCACGTAGGCCCACGTTGTCGTATAGCCCCAATATAGCGATACCTCCCTATATTCGATGATGTTAGCGACATTATTAAGCGTAATTGTTTCAAATTTCGTATTTGAAGTTCGGAATTGGTAACACAACCTATAACAAAAAAAGTTCGGCGCGGCAAAAATTTAGCTGCTATTTACTTGTTTCTCTTTGAACGGAATGGTATCAATTCAAATTATTCAAAAATTCAAAATTTAAAATCATCGAAATGCTGAATATTGGGGGTACCGTTTTACTGTTGGGGGGGGGGGGGGTGATGTTTACGATATCGTGGACCTATATAGACAATTCTCTTCTAGGGAATAAATCCTCCCTGTGAGGATTTTCACACAATTCCGTTAAAAAATGAGGCTAAAATCATCAAAATACAGAATATCGGGAGGTGCCGTTATATGGGAGATTACGATATCGTGGACATATATGAACTATTTTTTCAGGGGGTAAAATACTCATAAAGAACTCCTTGTGTGGCATTTCAGACAATTTCATTGGAAAATGCGGCTAAAATCATCAAAATACCGAATATCATGGGGTACCGTTATTGACCTGCCTGCAGACAAAAGATAGATCTGTGCAAAATTTTAGCTTCCTATCTTAATTCGTTTTGACTATAGCGTGATTACAACAGACGAACAGAGCTAAATCGTCCTAGAATTTTACGCTGATCAAGAATACAGGGTGAGATGAAAAAACTGCAACCAACTTAAGACTGCTGTCATTTCTAAACCACTCGTCCAATAGCTGTTAAAATAATTTTTAGTGACAGCTCATTATATTGTTTACAAGCGTACAAAAACATTTTGATGAGAATTTTCCAGAAAAAAAAGTTATTCGTGATGGAGTTGAAGCGTGATAGTTTGATTTCCAAAAATGGCTTGTGAACTGAAACTGAAATTCCAAAAAGTGCAAGAAATTACACCGCAACAGAACGAAAATAGATACAAAAGAGCTAAAGAGTTGCTTCGTTTGGCCGAAAGTGGTGAACTGTCGATTTTGGTAAAGGGTACGAAACGTACTACAAAAAGGTACGAAAAGTACTACAATTTACTAAAAGTTGAATACTTTGTATTGTACAAATGAAATGACCTAGAATTCTGAAATTTGCAGTACAGCTGTACAACAGGGTTTCTGGAAATTCGAACTTTAAGGCTACTAAAAGGTCTAAAATTTTACTAAGCTTCTAAAATAGGGAGTGGATAATACGATATTTGTTATTGGCTGAAGGGATAGCGCTGAAATCCTGAAATGTATAGATGTGACTGCTGAAGTTTAGGGTTGAGATATGGAAATATACGTTACAAAATTTGGTATTTGTGTGAAGGGATAGAACTGAAATTTTGAAACTGTTGGAAGAAAAATTGATTGACCCACATCTACACATTGTTGCATGGTTTTACTAGCATCCTCATCGGTCAACTTCAAAATGATAGGTTCAACTTTAAAATTATAGACTTTGAAGACATCTTGATGCAAAAGAAAAAACATTTTCTTATTATTTTTTCCGAAAAACTTGAATAATACAGGTACATCTAGGCTTAAAATTTTCAAGAAAATTACATTCGATGTAAGTCCAGTAAGAGCAAAATTATTTGTTTACGTTTTTACCGCTATTGTAGGTGTGAATATCTTTTATACTTCATATTTTGGGGAGTGCCAAGAGAAGAAATATTTTAGACCAAAATTCATTGTGGGTTTCTGAACAAGAGAAAATTGTATAGATAATATCTAAATCAATATAAATTCATAAATTTTTGTTTTATAAATTTTTTTTATTTCCACAATTTTAGCCCGATTTCTGAATGCACTGCTTTTTTTAGTTTTTTACTTTATATTTCATATTTTCATATTTTTATCATATTTGATATTTTTACTTTATATTTTTTTATTTTTTTTTTATTTTTTTTATTTTATATATTTTTATTTATTGTTTACGGATTTTAAGGACAGACAATTTGTCCATAGTTTCAGACAATAGAGGCCTTGAAAAGTTATATCCATCCGAACCATGAACATTATCATCTGCAATTTTTTCCCAGTTCCAGTCTCTCAAATCATAGCCTAACTCTGTGTGGCATAAACAAACAACAAATTTGTCCAAGCGATTATTTCATAAATAAATTACCATTACTCTCAAAAATTTTTCCATCGCCATCATAAACGATGCCATCATAAATATGCCTGCAGTAATATACTCAACCGATGTTAAAACCGATACTGCATGGTAGATAAGTTTTGTTTTTTTATATGGTTATATTATAAAATCTTGAGACGATTGCTAATCTTTGCCCAGATTTCCCCAGACTTGTAGAGAGTTTGTATAGCAAAGACATACAAATAATTAACCAATCAGATGGCACAATTAAAGCGTCAACTAGTGGAATAAAACGAAAACTTTTAAGTGTTTTGGGAACACAAAATTGAACTTTAAATGTGGTGTGATTAGATTTGAGTGCATAAAACAGCAAGACAAACAAATCGGTTTATTTATACTTATAAAACTCCTTTTTCGCTCATATAAAAAAATATATATCGGTGCTAAATGGGTTAATCATTATTATTATTATGTGAACGGTATTATGTGAACGGATTCAGATAAAAACTATAAATATGGTAAGATAATCCAGTTTGGAAAGTAAGTTTGAAGGTGGTTTTGGATATGTGTTCTAGGTTTGCGAACTGTACTAAATGGGACTAAATTTGAAATTATTTGATTTAGGGTGATCGGATAAAGCTGGAATTTTGAAATTTTTCATTGGGGTCCCTGCTGGTGGAAGGTTTGTGTTATAGTGGTGGTTTTGAAAATGTGTACTTTAATTGCACGAAAAGTACCAAATAGTACTATATTTGGTATAGGATCAAGATAGTGCTTTAAATTTGAACTTTTGGTATTGGGGTCGCTATTAATGTTTTGCCTAGACATTTGGGGGTGGTTTCGTACTATAATTGTACGAAAAGTACTAAATTATTGTGCATTTCTTTGTAACATACCGAAGGAAACAAGATAGAACCACAGTTCCTTCTGATGTTCTTCGTAGAATCAAATTGTGAGTCGATTTATGCATTTCGGTCCGACCATGTATTTTTGTAAAAAAAAATACAGGTCGCATTTATAGAGATGAACATACCCACAAATCATTTGTTTGGTCCAAGCACACAAACCCTATTGAAATCGGTGATAATCTGAACAGATTTAGATATAACTCGCATATACAGGGTGGGATGAAAAAACTGCAACCAAATTAAGACTGCTGTCATTTCCAAGCCACTAGTCCGACAGCTGTTAAAATTATTCCAGTGACAGCTCATTATATTGTTTACAAGCATACAAAAGTATTTTGCCGGGAATTTTCTAGAAAAAAAGTTATTCGTGATGGAATTCAAGCGTGATAGTGTGAGTGATTTCTTTATATTAGGCTGGAAAACCACAAGTGGCTATCGTTAGAGCACACCAGCATCAAAATGATACTGGTAGCTTAGCCCGACGTCAAGGAAGTGGACGGAAGAAAATAGCAACATCAGCAGAAATGGTTCGAAAAGTAAAGAAACGACTTGATCGAAACCTCGCTTCGCAGTGGCCGAAAAATGGCTCATGAGCTGAACATATCGCAACATTCCATTCGGCAAATATTGAAAAATGAGTTCGGTGTAAAACCATAGAAATTTCAAAAAGTGCAAGAACTTACACCGCAACAGAAAGAAAATAGACTTAAAACAGCTAAAGTTGTGCTTCGCTTGGCCGAAAGTGATGAACTGCCGAATTTGGTTTTCTTCGATGAGAAAACATTCGTTGTCCAGCAGTTTATAAACAAACAAAATGATCGTATTTACTTGCCAAAGAGGTCAGCTGAAAATGTGCACTTTCAGTTGGCCACCAGAACTCAAGTGCCGGTCATGGTGATGGTGTGGGCCGCCATAACAGCCGATGGTCACTCTCCGCTCGTATTAATCGATCGTGGCATCAGAATAAATATCGAATATTATAGTGAAAATATTCTGGAGGGTGTATTAAAGCCAGACCTTTGACATTCGAAAAGGACTCAGCACCATAGCACTCAGCACGCGCCACCCAAGAATGGTTACACAACGAGGTTCCTCGCTTAATTTCCAGCGCACAATGGCCACCAAAATCTCCGGATACCAATCCGTTGGACTATTGTGTCTGGAATATTTTGGAAAGCAAGGTTGGCACTAAAAAATACCAAAGTGTCGATCACCTCAACCAAGCGCTTCGTCGGGTAAATACCAACATTCCATCATTTTTTGCTTTCATTCAAAAAAAAAAAAATAAATAAATAAATAAATAAGTAAATAAATAAATAAATAAATAAAATAAAAAACCAGTAAAGAATGTCTTAAAGTCGGGCGGGGACGACTTTAGCATACCCTACACCACTTTGCTAATTTAGTTGAGCTCCACTTAATAATTAAAAGTTTTTATGGGAGAATTCAATCATACACGCTATGATTATAATTATAATTTAAAATTCAAAGGACTAAATATGCCGAAGCATTTGTATCTTTTAAATTCGGACTTGTATTGCCCATTTCGTGCGAAATTAATTTGAAATCGGATAAAAATATATATGAGAACTATATCCAATTCTGAACCGATCTCGATAAAATTTGGCAAATATATTTCTGAGCTGTATTTGATATATTTCCCTGAATATCGTTGTTACGGAGTACATATTACGGCTGTGGGTAACAAATACAATAAATCGGACGAAGTTATATATGGGAGCTATATCCAAATCTGAACCGATCTCGATAAAATTTAGCAAATGTATTTCTGAGCTGTATTTGATATATTTCCCCAAATATTGTTATTACAGAGTGCATATTACGGCTGCGGAGGACAAAAATAACAAATCGGATGAACAATATATATGGGAGCTATAGCTATATCTGTACCGATTTCGATCAAATTTGGCATACTTATTTTCAGGTCCAATCTAATCATACGTGAAAAATTCCATACTATTCGGACGGATATTACAAGTTTGATGCACAATAAAAGGCAAATCGGACGAAGATATATATGGGAGCTATATCTAAATTTTGACCGATTATCTCCAATTTCAATAGAGTTCGTCCTTGGGCCAAACAAATGATTTGTGAAAAATTTCATCTGGATAGGGCAATAAATGCGAACTGTACTTTGTTTACAAAAATACATGGACAGACGGACGAACGGGCGGACAGACGGACATGCATAAATCGACTCAGAATGTGATTCTATGCAGATCATCAAAAGGAACTATGGGTCTATCTCGTTTCCTTTTGCCTGTTACAAACAAATGCACAAAGACATAATACCCTGACCACCTTGTGGTGTATGGTATAAAAATGTAAGAATTATGGGGTTTGACTTTGCCGCAGTTTTTTTTATCTCAACCTGTATATGGTGTTCTGAGGATTGTTTCGAATTCAGTATTTAGTATTAAATTCCTAATGGATTATACAGGCTGTGACAAAAAATTGCATATATAGGCCTTATATAATGGCACTTTCCTATATTTCGTATTTTGATGATTTTAGAGACATTATTCCCGGGAATTGTTTAAAGTTTCGTATTTGAATATCGTAATGGTCTATGACAAAATTTTATATGCAGATCCATAATCCATTTTCCAAGATAACGCTACAAGTTGTTCAAAGCAAGCAACCTATTGCAGAAACGCGAAACGCCAACGCTATATTACATATTACCACACGTTCATTTCATTTATGATCCGATAGTGTTACCGCTATCAGCGATTATGCTTTTCAACAAGCATATAACGAAAATTTATTGGGCAATCGATGTTGCCCAGATATACGTTGGCGATAAAAGCAAACGGATCGGTGATAAGATTATCAGGTGGATATTTCTATTATTTATTATTGCTTGATTTGATAGACGTACGACAGGAGAAGGAAAATTGAGTTGATTATTGCAATACATTTCGTAAAAAGACACATTGGCATTTGTTACAAAAAAATTTCGATTTATTTAGAAAAAGAATTTTATTAATTAAAAACTAAAAAAAAAAATATTATTAATATTATTTTACAACAATTTCATAACTAACGGGGGCACTTTTAGCACAAGAAACGTGCTAAAACGGCAAACAATACCATGGAGAGGGCGGTGAAACCGCTCAAGCTGGCGCTACCACCAGTGGTGTACTTATCCAGATGGGACTTGAAGGTGCCCAGTTTCTTTTCGGCCCAATCCAAGTTTTCCTTAACAGTCTTTTCGGCAGAGTCCAAGGTGCTGGCAGAGCTGCCAAATTTGCCCCTGTTCTGGGTATTAAAGTTCTTCAATTTGGTTTCTTGTTGGGCAGTGGTGAAGCGGGAGGCAATATTGGAAATGACCGAGGCAACTGAGGAGTAGCCACCCATGCTGTAATAAAAAGAGCAGTTAGTTTTCATGTGATCAGAGAAGAGATCAAATGTGGAACTTACGAATTGGCCAAAGCATCAAGATTTTCAGCAACCAAATCGAAAACAGGCTCAACATTTTCATTGTTTTCACTGTACAAACTGCTGAGGGCAGCAGATTTGTCCTGGCGACGTACACTGTCCGACACAATGATATGGAAGAATTTGCTAACCAATTTCGAGTCCTTGACACAACCCAAAGAATTCAAGATCAAGGTGACTTCAGTGGCCACAGTTTCGGTCAGGTATTTGTTGTAGAGTTTGTTGAAATCAGCCTCGGTACCCTCACGCATGGCAGTACAGTAGACGGCGGAACGAATATTCACTGGCACCGGTTTGTTGTCCAAATTCTTGAAATATTCCTGGGCCTTGGTGATACATTCCTTCTTGCCGAATTTACAAGCCCATGACAAGATCTTGGCACGATTATAAATATCCAAAGTGGTATCGGTTGGCTTATCTTCGAAGCCCAAGAAATCGTAAGCCTTGGAGGTCATATCACGAATGTAGACGGCAAAGTTCTTGGTATCAAGACCCAAACGAATAACCAAATAATTGTAGCCATTGAAGGCAGCAGTCCAGGGCAGGTAATTTGTTTCGGTCTTCAAATAGGCCAAGATATCGAGAGCCAAATCATAGTCAATGACACTGGCGCGGGCCAAGTTGAAGAGATCATCCACAACCTGGGCACGATTCAGTTCATGGATGCCACCCCAGTTGTTGGTGAGCAAAGCGTGATGAATACCATGCCAGGATTTAACATCATAGTTGACGCGATAATAACCGGTTTCTTGGACGTTACCAACAATCCAGGAGACAGCTTGAGGCAAGGTTTGTTCGACGCTGGTGTCGTTGGGAGTGACAAACAATTTGGGTGTGGTCAAATTGAAATTGTTCTCAACATTGGTGGTATAGGTAATGGGCACAGTGTACAATAGGCTGCCATCGGCACCATCACCTTCCTTCAACAGGAAACGTTTTTGGCTAATAACCAAAGTTGTGGGCGTGGTCAAATTAAAGGTGATCACTGGATAACCGACCTGTTCGGTAAAGCTCTTGAACAGACCATCAGCATACGATTGGAATTGTGCGGGTATATATTTCTTCCAGACGGTAAACAAATCCGAGGGAACGGTATTGGTGTATTGGCTAGCGGGGTGGGTGGTGGAAAAGAAAATATGAATTAATTTAATTTATTCGTATGGGGTTGGTCTTATACGTTTACTATTTTTTGACAGTGAAAAACAATTTTATGTTTGAAGGGAACCTAGGCCTATACTATCGCCTAAAATAAAGATTTTATGTATTTTTTCTGAATTTGATGTTTGATAAGCTTTCTTTTAGCACTTAAAACATCACCCTTTTAAATTATACAATTATTATCTTCAACCAAAGAAGGTCACTTTCCGGTTGTTGCTATATTTGCATTATTTTTCTTTAATGAAAAATCGATGATCTACAACAAATCGATTTTCGTTTTTTTTTTTCAATTCAATTCAGTCGATAATTTCGGATTTTGATATTAAATCTTATGAAGAGAAATTTCACAAATTGTTGCACATTTTGGAGCTCGTATGGCAGAGAAAATTCTAATATCTCAAAATCGAATTTTTGACTTTTTGATGCCAAAAGGTGATCAATTGGAAGTGGCCATCCTTAGACTGATTTAATGGTGAAAATTCTTGACAAAAGTGGAAATTCTATTACACAAGTGGAAAAACAGTAGTTTCGAGCTGGTCGAACTTTGAATACCCTCCACCATTTGGAAAGAATTTGAAAATTGTGAAAAACAAAAATGCGTTGCAAAACACTGTTAAAATCATAAAAATACCGAATATATGGACTTACGAAGACCTGTATATGCAATTTTTGTCTTAGATCATTATGATCTTCAATACGAAACTTGAAACAATTCCGCTGAATAATATCGCTAAAATCACGTGTACTGCAAATTCAGTTTTTCTAGGAACTTCAAACACAACATTTGAAACAATAACATATATGCAGGGTGAGATGAAAAAACGGCAACCAATTTCATACTGCTGTCATTTCTAAGCCACTCGTCCGACAGCTGTTAAAATTATTCCAGTTGTTGATAATTTTCCAGAAAAAAAAAGTTATTCGTGATGGTTGGTATTTGACAAGTGGCTATTGTTAGAGCACTCCAGCATTTAAATGTGAATAAATCTTTTGCGTCTCGTACCATCGCTTAATGCCGTGATACTGGTAGCGTAGCCCGACGTCAAGGAAGTGGACGGAAGAAAACAACAACATTAGCAGAAATTCCAAAAAGTGCAAAAACTTACACCGCAATAGAAAGAAAATAGACTCAAGCAACTCAAAAGAGTTGCTTCGCTTGGCCGAAAGTGGTGAACTGCTGAATATGGTTTTCTCCGATGAGAAAACATTCCTTGTCCAGCAGTTTGTAAACAAACAAAATGATTGGTTTAGTTGTCAAAGAGGTCAGCTGAAACTGTACACCTTCGGTTGGCCACCCGAACTTAGGTGCAGGCCATGGTGATGGCGCGGGCTTCCATAACAGCCGATAGTCGCTCTCCTGTCGTATTAATCGACCGTGGCATCAGAATAAATGCCAAATGTTATTGCGAAAATGTGCTGGAGAGAGACATTGAACATTCCAACAGGACTCAGGACCATCGCACTCAGCACGTGCCACCCAAGAATGTTTGCAAAATGAGGTTCCTCGCTTCATTTCCAGCTCACTATGGCCACCAAATCTGCGGATACCATCCGTTGGACTATTGTGTCTGGAGTATTCTGAAAAGCAAGGTTGGCACTAAAAAATACCAAAGTATCGATCACATCACCGCAGAGCAACGTTCGGGCAGTGTGTGACAGTTACATTGGCCGTTTAAAAACTATAATACGTGCCAAGGGTGATCAATTCGAACAAATCTAAACTTATTCTAAAATTTGATACTTTTTCTGACTTTTTTTGATTTCATTCAATAAATTAAAAAAGGAAAAATAATGGCGTTGACTTTGTTGCAGTTTTTTTATCTCACCCTGTATACCCTTTTTGGCTCATATGACAATAACATAGCGGCAAAAAGCCGTTATTAGCAAAACTAAAAAGTCCACTTTGTATTTGTTTTCTTACTGCAACCAAAAGCCAACTTCGATTTTGAGATTTCTGCCATACCAAAAGACTTTAGAAAAAGTCGAGATTTACATTAAGACAGTTTCAATACCACAAGCCGATAAATTGAAAGTAGAGTTACTTATTTGTCGAATTTTCGATCCAGTAAAAGTAGATTTTGAATTTGAAATATTCTCAATATCAAAAATCAATTGAAGAGAGAGAGAGAAAGTTTCGCATTTGTGAGTCATTCTTCGACTTTGAGGATTTTTCAATACCAAAAACACGAGAAAAAGTCAATGTTGAGCTATTTCAATAGGGAAATTCGATTGAAAGTCGAAAATACCAAAAGCCTGTTAATTGAAAAAAATCTGCATTTATCATTTCTACAGTCGAAATTAAAAGTCGAATTTCTATTCCCTTGCCAGTAAAATATTTAAGAATTCCAATTTGAAAACAATTTTGAAACTTTTAAACCAATACTTACTGTGTCTTCAGGTATTCACGCAGAGAGTTCTTGAAATTTTCCTCGCCCATGACATATTTCACCATGCGAATGAAGGTACCGCCCTTGTTATAGGAAATGCTGTTGAACATGCGAGACAAATCGGCGGGGGTGTTGGTGTTTTCGTCGCTCATGGGGTTGGTGTTGACGGTGGAATCCATGTTCATGACAGCCTGAATTTGATCGACAACGAATTGTTGGTCCATTTGATAGTGGGTCTCGACCTGGTGGGGAAAGAAGGTAAAAAAAAAAACAAAAAATATACAAAAAAAAAAAAAGAGAATTAGGGATCGATATCTAGAGAGAGTGCTTCCTTTCACACTTACATTATGAGTACCAAAGTACTGGAAGTAACGAGCAAAACCCTCATTCAACCAGGTATAGCTCCACCATTGGCATGTTACCAAATCACCAAACCACATGTGAGCCTGTTCATGGGCAACAACGGCAGCAATATATTGTTGGGCACTCAAAGTTGTGGAACCTTCGTCGTAGAGCAAGGCACGTTCACGATATGTCAATAGACCCCAGTTTTCCATAGCACCGGCCGAGAAATCGGGAATGGCAGCCATGTGCATTTTATCATTGCCCATGGAGTAATAGGGAATGTCGAAGTAATCACCCAAATCCTTTAGGATTTCTTGTCCCACATCGAAGGCATATTCGGTTTGTTTATAGAATTCCGGACGGGCAATAACACCAAAATCACCATTGAAACGTTCATTGAATTCAGAGACAATGAAAGCCAAAATGTAGGTGGACATTTTGGGTGTGGTGGCATAACGATCGGTCACATAGTCACTGGGGGGAAAGAGAGGGGATTTTTTTTTGGAAAAATTAAATCAGAAAATTCTTTATTATTTTGGGCTTTTTTCTTACCCATTGGTGGTGCTGTTGACAATGCGTGTGTTACTGTAAGTCTTCATACTTTTGTGGCGGGTAAGGGTAATATCAAAGGTGGCCTTGAAACGGGGTTCATCGAAGGAGGGGAAGGCACGACGGGCATGGTTGGTTTGGAATTGAGTTGAGCCAAGCCATCTGTGGAAGAATATCAATATTATTTTTGTTTTTGCAATTTTCCCTTATGTTGGGTTCTTTACACTTACTTGGTGTTATTCTTAGAGTCCGTGTAAGAACTGCGATAGAAACCGTGCATATCATCATCCATGGTGCCGGTGTAGACGAAATGCAAAACATATTCCTGATTTGCCACCAGAGCCGAGGTCAAAGTGTAGGTGACAATATCGGTTACATTGTTGGGTTCAACAGCAGGTAGAGTTGTCTTCACATCTGGTTTACTCTTGGCATAAAATTCACGCAGAGAATATTTCAAATTTTTACTGTGCAAAACCAATGTACTTGTGGTAACTTTGGGCTTGATCGTAATATAAGCTTCACCATCGAAAGTGAAACGTTTCTCACTGGGATCGCTATCCAAAAGGTAGGGTTTCAGGGAGACATTATAGTTGATGGGTTCAATATCGGTTATAAGGCGATAATTTTCTTCGGCAGCCGGAACAATATTTTCAACTTCTTCCGTCAGCGGCGCTGCTGTGCTCAAACACAGACACACTGCCAAAGTGGCAGCTACAATCATGAACTTCATGCTGAAGAAAATGATCTGCTGGAACGAGGGAAAAGTGATTTTTTTTAATATAAAAAAAGAAGAAAAAATGCCAAAGGGGGCTGTAAGTACTTAGACCCGCTATTAACACACTCTAAAAAATCTAAATTATGTTTTTTGAAAAACATTTTTTTCAAATATCAGCATCGCCGGGGCTTTACTCATAGATTGCTGAACAAAATGATCGGATAAGACAAAACTTAGACTTTGCTAACAAAATTAGGCCAACATTTTAACATCGGCAACATAGCTACAATCGAGAATTTTTAAAAAATATTTTTTAAGGTTCAATATAGATTTTTTTAGAATTCTGTTTCAAATCTCACGGTGTGATACTCCTTGATTTTGAAGATAGTCTATAATTATGTATTTATAGGAATATTTTTATATATCCACAGCTAAGCATATAAAGCTTTTTTAAAGCTTTTTTAAGACATTCCATAATTCAGACATTTTTAAGAATATTTACTCTGTACGAATGCTGTGAATCATATATATATATATATATATATATATATATATATATATATATATTTATATATATATATATATATATATATATATATATATATATATATATATAGCAGACTTTAAAAATGAGAGAAAAATTTTAATGAGAGAAATTTAATGCGGCCAAAACGTGCCTAATAGAAATAACGGTTTCAGACCCTAGGTCTCTTTGGACCAATTTTTTATGAAACTTAGATCGATTTCGGAGACGTGTACCACCCCCACAAAAGGTCGAAATTCGCAAAAATTATATTTTCTACACAGAAAGAGAAACGATAATCCGATTTTTGCTCCAACTTTGCAAATCCTAATTTTTGCGTCAGTACTAGGTCAGGTGCGAAAATGGACAATATCGGCCCCCTCCATCAAGTACCTCCCTCACAAAGGAACAAAATTTTGAATAATTATAACTCTTTTAAAATGTGACGTAAGAGTCCGATTGTCCTCAAATTTCACACATCCCAATATTTTTATTTTTACCGAGATGGGCAATATCGGTCCGCTCCTTCTGGTACCACCCCCACAAAACGGTCGAAATTCTCAAAAAATATATTTTCTACACAGAAAGAGAAACGATTATCCGATTTTTGCTCCAACTTTGCAAATCCTAATTTTTGCGTCAGTACTAGGTCAGGTGCGAAAATGGACAATATAGGCCCCCTTCATCAAGTACCTCCCCCACAAAGGGTCAAAATTTTGAATAATTATAATTCTTTTAAAATGTGAACTAAGAGTCCGATTGTCCTCAAATTTCACACATCCCAATATTTTTATTTACCCAAGGTCTGGTGTTAAGAGGGAATATATCGGTCCACTCCTTCTGGTCATCCAGATATGGAATATTGTGTAAGTCATCGATCTCGGCAGTCTAATTTTATGGTCTGTTAATTTCAATTTTTTTTTTTTATTTTCACTTCACATATTTTTGTCGAACATAAATGTAATTTAAAAAAAATTGAAAGCCATAAAAAATGTTTTTTTTTTTCTTCTATACAGTCTTACTGACTTCCGTTTTTAGCAGAGAATCTTTTAGGGAGAATCTTGCAGTTTTTAAAAATTTTAGAGAAAAAATTGGGAATTTTTTAGAGTATTTTTGACAACAATTAGGAGAAAAATATTTAATGAGAGAAATTTAATGCGGTTAAAACGTGCCTAGTCGAAATAACGGTTTTAGACCCTAGGTCTCTTTGGACCAATTTTTTTATGAAACTTAGATCGATTTCGGAGATGGGCAATATCGGTCCGCTCCTTCTGGTACCACCCCCACAAAAGGTCGAAATTCTCAAAAAAATATATTTTCCAAACAGAAAGAGAAACGATAATCCGCTTTTTTGCTCCAACTTTGCAAATCCTAATTTTTGCGTCAGTACTAGGTCAGGTGCGAAAGTGGACAATATCGGTACCTCCCCCACAAAGGGTCAAAATTTTGAATAATTATAACTCTTTTAAAAAGTTAAGCAAGAGTCCGATTGTCCTCAAATTTCACACATCCCAATATTTTTATTTACCCAAGGTCTGGTGTTAAGAGGGAATATATCGGTCCACTCCTTCTGGTCATCCTGATATGGAATGTTGTGTAAGTCAACGATCTCGGCAGTCTAATTTTATGCTCTGTTAATTTAAAAAAAAAAAAAAATCACACAATTTTTTTATTTTCCACTTCACATATTTTTGCCGAACATAAATGTAATTTAAAAAAATTGAAAACCATAAAAAATGTTTTTTTTTTTTTTCTATACAGTCTTATTGACTTCCGTTTTTAGCAACCAGTTTCAATGTTAAGGTTATGATGAAATTTATAATTTTTTTTTTAATTATAAGCCGATAATATATTTATTTATTTATTGTTGAAATAAATTAGAAACCCGTATTAAGACAATTCATTTTGAAAACAATTTACAATCTTTTACAAAAAAAAAAAATTATTAAAAATAATAAATGAAAAAAAATATTGTTTTATTCTTTTTATCTGGGTGATTTTGCGGGAATATGGTCACTCAAAAATATTTTTTTTATTATATGAAAATATTTTTAAATTTTCTCTCATTTATTCACATTTACCCGTCAATCACGTCGTTCAATCACTTCTCACAGTTTTTTTTTTGTTTTTCAAAATACCCACCTCTATTCTAATATAGGATCCTTTCGAGATTTTCGGAGAGGGTTTCAGTATATTTTTCGCAAAATATGGCCAATAACTTTCGGCCCACTAAAGACTGGCAGCAAGTAACGCTGGTATTTATAACAAATGCCAACTGTTTATTGTTGGGTTTGAAGTTATCTCAAAAATAATTGTATTTTATGGGCCATCTGATAAGGCCCCCATCATCGTTTGACTGATTTTATAAAAAAGCTGAACATTATACGTATCGCTGGCAATACAACTTCAAATACGACAAGCAACAGGTTGTGTATCTTTCAGTCAAATACCTATCTACATACATATGTATGATTATTTATTGTCAGACATTCACAGCTCCACTGTCAGTTGGCTGGTCGGTCGGTCGGTCGCTCGCTCGCCATATTATTTATGCCCTTTTCCTTGTACCATATAAATGAGCTTATTGACAGAATAGAAGCTTAAATATGCACGCGCCATCTTATAGGCCTGTTCAGAATTATAGGGTTCGATGTTTCGGCTTTTTGGATATCTGTGATTTTCCTCAAAATTCTTATCACTCTTATCTCGGAAATACCCACTCCTTTGGACATTGACCATAAGAAGAATTTTCCGCGTCCATTGTTGAGTTCAAGTGGTTGTTTGGTGGACTGTCGACTGTGTTCATTGGCATTGTTTCTAGACGATCGTATTTCTGAGAATGATTCCATGCTCTAACATCACTATTCCCTAAAAAGAGAGAAAGTGTTTGATAATATATGCATATCTCTGGGAGTTTATAAAGATTATGTGTTCCGGGTGGTGGTTGCTGATTAGAATAATTTTTGTTCTGATTATAGTTTCAAAGATACGAATCGATATCGAAATAAACTATCTTGGCATGGTTATTTGGAAACAAGTAATAAAGCAGTTAAGTTCGATGGGGCAAAAACTTGTATAACAGTATTTTGGATTTTTTTATAATATGTCTAGAAGTGATGAGGACAATTTGCTACAATGGAGGATGGTTTCTATTACATCCCTTTTTCAGATTTTTTCAGAGCTATTGGAAAGTTAAAAAAAATAGACACATCCTTCCTTTTTTGAATTGGTATTACGATCCATATAATATAATGTTTGTAGATTATTTCATGCAAATGTTGACAGCTCACTATATTATTTACAAGCGTACAAAAACATTTTGTGAAAATTTTCCAGAAAATAAGTTATTCTCGATGGAATTCAAGCGTGATAGTGTGATTTCTTTATATTTGGCTGGAAATCCACAAGTGTCTATCATAAGAGCACTCCAGCATTTAAATGTGAATAATTCGTTTGTGTCTCGTACCATCGCTCATTACTGTGATACTGGTAGCGTAGACCGACGTCAAGGAAGTGGACGAAAGAAAACAGCAACATCAGCAGAAATGGTTCGGAAAGAAGAACATAACCCAATATTCCATTTGGTAAATATTGAAAAATGAGCTCGGGGTAAACCCATTGAAATTCCAAAAAGTGCAAGAACTTACGCCGCATCAGAAAGAAAATAGACTCAAAAGAGCTAAAGAGTTGCTGCGCTTGGCCGAAAGTGGTGAACTGCCGAATTTGGTTTTCTCCGAAGAGGAAACATTCGTTGTCCAGCAGTTTGTAAATAAAATGACCGTGGCATCAGAATAAATGCCGAATATTAACGCAAAAATATTCTGGAGGATGTATTAAAGCCTTGGGCACGCAAACATTTTGGTCGCAGACCTTGCACATCCCAGCAGGCCTCAACACCGTCGCACTCAGCACGCGCCACCCAAGAATGGTTACAAAATGAGGTTCCACGCTTCATTTCCAGCGCACAATGGCCACCAAAATCTACAGGTGCTTCGCCGGGAATGGGCCAAAATACCGCAGAGCAACATTCGGGCAGCGTGTGACGGTTTCATTGGCTATTTGAAGACCATAATTCGTGCCAAAGGTGACCAATTCGAACAAATCTAAACTTATTCTAAAATTTAATACTAAAACAAGTAAGCAAAGGCTACAGTCGAGCGGGGCCGACCGTTGAATACCCTACAACACTATAATAAACGATACAGTTTATATAGGTGAGATACTCGAAAGAATTCCACAAGATATTGTGACAAATAATAAAAGAAAACCATCAGGTTTCGTTCTCTAATTTTCGAATAATAGCAACTTTAACTAATTTCTCATTTCCAATTTATTGGTAGATGTGCACGTAAATGGTCTTCCTAGATCTGGAACCAATATTTCCCAAAGACCTACAATCTCATAAAAGTGGCAAAAGATTAACATTTAATATTGGTTTTTGACTGAAACGCATCTATATGAGATACAGACATTTGACTATATTCTTCAACGAAATCAGCGTTAACGAAATAGTCAGAAGTGCGTTTTTCCTGTATTTGTGAATTCTCCAAAAAGTCACTGAAATGGTCATTTTCGTATTTTGTCTACAAAAGTTGACAAACTATTCACACATTGAATATTTTTGGATGGCCATCCAAAACTGCTTGGCTTTTGCAATGTCCGGTAACCCCCATTCAAATGTGCGTTAGGATCGGGCGATAATTACGACCTGCTGACTTTGCACTTTTTGGTTCATTTCAACCCCTAAATATATGGCAATCATCTCCAAAAAGAGTAGGCTTCTATTCTGACCCTCATCTTATCCCCATGCAAAATTTGGTATGGATCGGGCCATAAATGCGATCTGCATATGATATCCTGATATCCTAACTACTTAGGTTTGTTAGCTGTAGAAATATTACCAAATGTTTTATTCAAAATGAAAATATGACAAAATTGAAAAAAATATGAGAAAATGTTAGAAAATCAATATTTTCATCTTTAGAGAGATATTTTTATGTGATTTTTTTAGAAGTTTTTTCTTTCCTGCCAAGAGGCCATTCTGAATTAATGAGAACTGTCGAAATCAGTTCAGTCGTTCTCGACATATAATAGATTTTTCAAGCATATCTTCATTGATAAACATATATATCGCACATATTTTGCTAATGTCCGTTTTGTTGGATGTTAACATCAATGTAAAGATCAGAAGTAACCTTGCCACGGCTTTGTGATTTCGCCGGGATTTAAAATATTCGCGGTTTAATGAAAAATTTTGAATTTTTTCAACACAAAAGATATGGTCTATTTTACCCGCTAAATATTATCCGATGACCACCCAAATTAGTAGGCTTCCGCGTCGATTGCTCTATAATTGCGACCTGTATAGCTACTGCAAAATCCGACATTTTTTCAGTATTTGGTCCATTTCAACCCCTAAACTTTTGGCGATAATCTCCAAAAGAAATAGGCTTCTATTCTGACCCTAACCCCACCTTCGTGCAAAATTTCGTAAGGATCGGGCCATAATTGCGACCTGTAGCGTGATTACAAATGAACATGGACAGACGGACGGACATACATAGCTAGATCGACTCAGCTCGGCGAGCTAGGAAGATACATATATACTTTCCTATATGGGAAACCAATATTTCGAGGTATTACATAAATTCTGGCCCAATCAAACTTATAATACCCCCAACACATAGTGTTGTAGGGTATAAAAAATATAAAAATTATGGCGTTTGACTTTGCTTCAGTTTTTTTTATCTCACCCTGTATTGAGATGCGCTCTGTGTGTTAATTTCGCGTTTTATGAGCTTCATGGTTATTCAAAATGTTGACCCATTGTGGGGGAGCTACCAAAAGAAGTGGACCGATATATCTCATATTCACAGCAGATCTTGTGTTAGTCGAAATAATGGGATGTGCGAAAAATAAAAAGAACCAGATGCTTATTTCGGATTGTGCGATACATGAAGAAAACCGTATGCTTATTTTGACCTTTTTGTGGGAGAGGTACCAGAAGGAATGGCCCGATCTCTACCATCGTTATAACAGATCTTGTCTTGATAGAAATTTTGAGATGTGGCAAGTCTGAATGGAATCGGATATTAATATCGTTTTTTTTTGGATATTCTAAATTTAGACCCATTGCGCTATCTTCACAGCGGATCTTAGATGGGGATTTGTATTATTCGAAGACAATAGGCCTCATACATCATATTTTATTACAGTTATAATGATTCAAAATGTTGACCCTTTGTGGGGAAGGTACTTGATGGAGCGGCCCGATATTGTCAATTTTCTCACCTGACCTGCACTAATGCAAATATTAGGATTTTCATAGTTGGAGCAAAATCGAATTATCCTTTCTCTTTTTGTGCAGTAAAATATTTTTTTATTTTTTTTCGCTAGATCGACTCCAAATGTCCTGAAACGGATCGAAAACGGTTCATTCGATGAAGCACATTTGGCCGTATTAAATGATATGTACTCTCTCTAGCCATATGGCTGACGGTATAAAAATAAGGAACTCGAATGAGTTCTTTCACTATTGATCCAGTAACATAATTGCATTACACGGAACCACACCCACTATATTTTTTGCTAGTATATGTATGTGCAATCAATCCAAGGTCGTCAAAAAAATATATTTTTAAATTTGACTGGTCTTTTTGCACTTGAGAATTTCATGTTTCTTTAACTTCAAGAGCCAACTAATCAGATAAATCTATCTTTTGAATTGTTGATTAAAAGTGTGCATTTGAAATGAACTGTCAAATCCATTTTGGAAAATGCCGCTCCTTTATAGAATACTTGAATTTTTTTTTTTTGATATCGTCAAATGTACTTAATTTCAAATTTAATATTTTTTTGGTAATATGATGTTTGTGCAGTGTCATTGTAAATTTTTGGATAGGACAGGGTATTTTCCTTATCCATTATCGATTTGGACTGGAGAAACATACCTATCTACCTATGTGCTTATGAAGTTTATCCTCATCATTAATGTTAACTATAACCAAACTAATGATGTCATGTGATATTAGTTTTTCCCATGAAAATTGGTTAAATTGACTAATGACTCATATTTTCATGGAATTCAATATGAAAATAGATTATCTTTGGGGGAAGTTTTTTTTTTTTTTGATTATTATCAATGTTTAGGCAAAAAAATCGATTAAATTTCAATAAAAATAGTAATAATAATGTATTTTTATTCTTGATGAAATTTGACAAAAAAAAAAAAAAAAAAATAGAATATACTGTAAAACTTTCAATATTCTTTAAACTCTTAAGACTCACCCCTTAGTC